CCGCTGCCCTCGCCCATGGATGATACGGTTAGTGCGCCTAGCACGCCCACCATGGCGCCAGCGTTACAGGTGGCCTCACCAGCGCCCAGTGTTGCTGACAGTGGCGCGACCACAGAGGCAGCCACAGGTGATTCACTCGCAAATCTCGCCTGTCCCGCCGGTGTAGATGCGCAGGTGTTCAAGGAGCTACCCGTTGAGCTGCAGAATGAATTGATTGCCTCGTGGCGCAGTTCGTTGGTGGTAGCTGCAGCAAATGCAGTGGAGCAGGCAACAACAAGCAGTGGCAGTAGTTCAGCCAACACCGGCAGCAGTAGCGGCGGCGGTGGCGCCAGCAGCAGCACACAGAAGAATACCCTATATCGTTATTTCCTGAGGAACAAGTGATGTCGTGTAGATGCGTTCAACGCAAATTCTGCCTATTTTAGATTAAAAACGATAAACGTATGCATATAATACTTTATATTTTTATAGGTTTGTGGTATTAGCATGTATGTTAAATGTAAATGTCTATAGATGAGCTGTTGATGAAATTCCCAATTTGCATTATTCAGTACATTTATTAATTCATATACACTTCATTAAATACTCACATACGTGGCCACATACATAATTGTTAAGGTGCCCTACTTAAGTTTACATTTTTCAATTTTGTTTTTTAACGATACCAACAATGCTAAACTGGAACTTTTGTAAGAGCTCTCACATTTTACATATATAGCATATGCGTTAAAAATACAAAAACAAGCGTATTCTTTGTCTAAGAAATTATGGGAATCTGTCCGCTTGACTTGATACAAGTTAAATTTAAATACAAATAGGAGTTTTGTAGTTTACCTCAAATGGCAACAACGAAATCTGTACAAAAAAAATATTTATATATAGAACAATATAAAATTTGTTTAGGGCGACCTATTATCATACATTTTAACTATATAACTACATAATAAAATAAAGATTAATTTCAAGTCTTTGAAGCAGTGAATTGATTCTGTGTGTGTTTTCAGGGAAATGGCAACAACAGCTAAAACGACAGTAACATCGCAAAGTTCAATGGCTCAGCCAGCCGCATTTAATAAAGAACTTGCGCAACGAGATTTCCATGGGACTGCCCAAAGATGGAGCGCCGCTTAGGCATACCGTTTTCAGGGAAAGATACGTTGTGGGCGTAATGTTGTGCTTCTTGCACACATCCAGCTCGTTGTGCGTGAGCAAATTGCTGCCCAACGGCTGTGGTAGACGCTTCAACTCATCCAACTGGCTGCGCAGTATGTAGCTCATACTGGTCGGCTGCTGCTGTTGCTGCTCCTCTGTCGCACTATTGCTGCCGGCGGCGGCCTCGTTTAGCTGCGACGGCATTTTTGCGCCGCTTTGCAGCAGCTGCTGCTGATGTTGTGGGTTGCCCTTCGCTGCTGCTGTCGATTGTGGCAGGTTCGCCTGGGCTGCCGTCATCGTAGCCGTGGAAGTCACTGCCGTCGCTGTTATTGCCGAGTCCAACGTCATCCCCTGACCCATGCCCGTGCTCAACCCCATCGCCGCCGCCGTCGCCGTCGTCATTGTCGTCGGCAGCATCGTTGTCGTAGCTGCCGACGATGTCCGATAGCTATCCAAGTAGCTTCTGCTGGGCAATAATGCGCCGGAGCAGATCGGGTCGCCGATGTGGTGCATGCTTCTTGGTGCGATTGAACTTGAACTTGCCTCGGCGCCGCTTAACGGTTCGCTGTAAAATAGTAAGCAATATATATATATATATATATATATATATGAATTGTTTTATGGAATAGGAAGACTTACGCCTTTCTGGGATTCGCTTGAGGGGAGTGCAAGGAAGAGCTTAGCGGCCGATGACTTCCATTGAAGGGCTGTGTGTTGTCCTGTGGTTAAACATTGTCTTATACAACCATTCAAACGCTGCGAGTTGGGCGCGTTGATAATACAAAGGAGCTGAATATCGTGAAAGTAAGACAAGAGACAAGGAGAACAGTTTCATTGCGTTGCGATTCAACTAACATAGCTAAGAACCAGAGCTGGAAAACAATTAAGCTACTCTTTAATCGACTGTCGATCGATAAATCTACAATTTCCAGTTGCCATATTGTTTTCTAGCTCTAGCAGACACGATATTCAACTCGCCATGCATTCAAATATGGGGGACACGAAACAAAGAACATGGCCAACTTACAGTTTTCCCATGGCCATACGGTCCCGTGGAACGATGTGTAGCCATCGCCGCATGCTGCTCAAAGTGCCGGCAATCATCGATCTTGGTGATGCCATTATAGCGATAGCGATACAGCTCCGACTGCCTTATGCGTAGCTCCTTCTCGCGCTCCAGTGAGCCCAGCAGGCGTTCGTACTCATTGCAGGAGTAGAACTGTGCAAAGACACGAAAACGATCACGGAATTCCTTCTGCTCTTTGCTCAAGCCCGGATGCAATGCATAGTTGCGATTGCGAAAGAAATTGGACACTAGTTGATAGTCACGCACCATGCGTTTTCGGCGTGCACGCTCCCGAAGGCGACGTGTATAGATATCAACGTGAGCTAGCTTAAGCATGACATCAACTTCCACATCCTCTGAGCTGAATGTAATAGTAGAGATCAACTGTTCAGCAGTTGGATCATATTCGCGTTCAAAGCTATCACGATTGGGCATATAGCCCAGTTGAAGCGCTTCCTCGTTGCTTATCTCTAGCGGTGGCAGGCGGGCTAGTGAATTGGCGCCCAAGGGCCCAGTATCATCCTCCGTATGATCGATCAGGATAGGTCGTTGCAATTGCGCAGGCGTCCATGTGGCCTTGCCAATGGTGCCGTTAACAAACTTATTTACATACTCCTCTTTGGCATCCTCAGCGGACTTGGTTTCAATATGTTTGCTAATGTCCTCCCAGTTGCCAAAACCATACTGTTCAATGGCATCCAGCAGACGAATCTCCTCGCGTGCCGTCCAGGCACCTTTGCCGCGGAATACGCTCAATATTGCAGTGCCTGTGTCCATGAACTGATATGCGTGATTGTTTTGATGGGCGCCAATCTCTGCGCCAGTAGCGAAGCACTAGAAAAAAACAATGCAATTAACAACGTTGTCGGGTGTTGCTGACTGCCCAATACTCTGTTCATAATGTAAAAACAATTGGAAAGCTAATTGGTTTGGTTATTTTAAGTGATCCACGAGACGCCGAAATTTAGACTGTGACTAATAAATATCGATCTCGATATACAAAATAGGCCATCAGTAGAATAACTACCAAATCTGGTGACTCTGGCTGGAAAACTATAAGATATCGATTTTGTATATCGAAAGTCTAACTTTATCTGAAACGAATATACGGGAGCATATATTCCGAGTTTGCAAGTCTACTTGAAATGGAGATCAAACCAATATATTACACTATGTGAGCAGAGTATAAGAACATATTCAAACACATACACATACAAATTCATATATATTTTAACATTTTCGTCACTCCATATACAGAAAACAGCTGTTCAAAAACAACATTGTGAAATCGCCCGGCTATATGTACAGTTTTAGATGCGTCAGCACAAACACACACACGGGGGCCAGCTCTTTTCACGATGTCTGTGTCAGTGTGCGTCAATAATGTACATGTAGGTGTGGTAGCGTACACACACACACATATACATTTTCTTATACTTACTTGCAGGCACAGATCGAAATTTTCGCACTCAGCACAATGCACACGTATGCCCTGGATATCATCCTGGCAATTAGTGCAATTGTACTTTGTGAACAAGTCCGCAATTGTGGTCATTCCGACTTTAAATAGCGCTTTTTCTTGAATTAATGAATATGCGAAAAACGCACTATGCGACAGACGCCATCTTGGCCCAAGAACAGAGTTGCCATATCGCTCAAAACATGCAAACACCCTTGTTTTCTTGGTGTGACCAGCGCAACATCAAGCGACCAACTTGCGCGCGTAAATTGAAAAAGCATATTTTTTTGGTTACAATATAATATATATTTATTAAATTTCAAAATTTTAATTCGAGAGTTGCCTTTTTCTTGTAATAATCAATTTTTTGTTACGCTAATATCACAAAAATAATATATAAAACTAAAATATGAGAAATTGTTGCATAATATCAAACCGAAACCAATGAAATATATAAATATAAATTTATACATATGCATATAAATACCGATAAATCTGTGTTTAAGCTAAAAACGAAAATAACGTAAAAATTGTAAGCAATTAGCTGAATATAAATACAACGGTGGTTACGGGAAGGAACACTTATAAAATTATACAAATTTAAATAGCGATTAAAAAGCAATAAAAGTTTGTAATGCAAATGCGTTGAATGATATACCGATGCTTAAATCTAAAAAATAAGGAAATAGGAATTGCGCTGGGCTTTTAACGTCTTGTAGGAATTACAATGAAGCTTGCTAAGATAAGGTTATATTAAGATTGATTAATATTGATTAGTTTTATACGTTGAATATGTTTTATAATATTGCTGTGTCCTTCCGAGCAGCAGCCGCTTTGGTGTGAGGGGTTCTCAGGACGAGGACTAGTTTTAGTTTGGTTACTGTTGCTAGTTTGCTTAGACAAAAAAAAAAAAAAACTAACAAAAAATAAAGATAAAATCACGATATGAGAACTTTAACATAATTCTTATGGCAAGATGTTGTACAGCTGCGTTTTAAAAACGCACACTTTACATAAACACTTCAATTCGAATACCTAAAATCGTCTAAATAAGTCTATTTGAGCGCCAAATTCGTGTTGAGAGTCGCGCCTGCTTGTGGGAGCACACGGCTAGAAATATATTTATATTATTATCATATATATTTGTTTGATGCTTTTCGAGATTCACAAGAGAGCAAGTATCTGGCAGTTGGTCGCACAATTTGTCACAGCTCACAGTTGTCTCTATTCGATATTGATTGCGATTTTGTGGCATAAGGAACTAAGAAATACGATCCACACACGTACAGGCGCGACGGCAAGCGTTGTCATGTGCGACAGGCAACAGCCCCAAATAAAGTAGAGCCGCCTCCTTGTCACCGCAACGAAACTCATAAGTAGTTGTCGATTATAATGCCCTTTTCGGGGCGAACATAAAGAAATGCAAGAGCTTTACCTAAAACATAACTATTAACTAATTTGGTATGTAAAGTCTTTGTGTCTTTAGCCACAATTTGATTATGATGAAAATTCCATGGCGTACAGTAACCGGCTAGGCAAACTAACAACAGCAACAACAAATAACTACCAGTTAACTCACATGGGGATTCCTTGATTATTATTAACGGGTCACACTTCGCGGCTGCTATATTGCTCGGCTCTTGTTGTTGTCCTATTGTATCGTCTGTTACGTTCTGTTGTGTGGGTATTGGCAAGGAAGCATCTAAACGTTGGCTAAGCATGGCTACAACTGGCGCTAAGGCCAGACGGGGATTGTGATTGGGGCTGGGAGCGATGTTGGCTTGGATTCGAGTCACACGAATATGCAGCTCTCTGCATAAATTGTGCCCGAAAACATTCTGATCGCATTGGCTGCGGCTGCATCGTTCAATTCTAGGTGTCGTTGGTGCGGTATTATTAGGTGGTTGTGGGTTAAGTTGCTTCTTGATAAAATACTTGTGGGTTTTGTTCATCTTTAGTTACGGTTGAATCTGCTTCTTGGGTTTTTTTAACTCAGCATCTTCGTCACGCTTAACTTCAGTGTAACGCTCGCCCTTAAGAGATACAATCTTATTATCACGATAACGCACAAGCTTGCGCGGCTCCATTTTGGGAACCACCGGCTTATATTCGCGCTGAGTGGCATTCTTGTCCACATAGGAGTATCTAAGGAGCAACAGTTACGTAAGTGAAAAATCACATTTAATTTTTTTTACAATAATTACCTTGCTATTATGCGATTCTTCAGCTCATTGTCATCAACCACGATATTCTTCTTCATGCCCACAGTATAAGTTTTGTCGGTCAGGCTCTGATTGGTCTCCTGGCGATGCAATAGTATTTGAGTAGCGCTATCGATGTCGCCCTTGGATATTGCAATGCAATGCTTTATCTGCAAACATATTAAATAATTGTACCCATTATGCTATACTACTAAGTGACGCTTGATCCAATAATGGCGTTATTGACCTCCACAATTTGAATTATGTAAATCGTATTAATTCGTCTCACATAGCTCCGAAAGGAACATTTGGGTAAAAATAGTTTTGTACGAAAACATCGTCAAGTATATAAATGAATCACACATCCGATATATAAGATATGTAGTACACGGGACACTGGGAATTACTTCCCCTCCTTCTTAGCTCTTAAGTACACTACCAACTCACCTCCACGTAAGCGGTGTCGGGAAACATCTCCTGCAGCACCTCAGCCTCATCTAAAAAGTAATCGCAATTGGAGCTAGAGCTGTCAGTGGAGCCTCCATCACTAGTCTCAGACAAGTGCTGAGAACGCTTGCTGCTGCCGCCACCATTGCCGCCGCTGCTGCTGCTATTGTTCGAAGATAACTCGTCCTTTTCGGAGATGGAAGAGTTGCGTGCACGCAGTTTGGACTCTGGTATAATGCTGGACAAGCTTAGGGCGCTGCAAGGCGACACACCATATATAGAACATAAGGCAAATGATAATGATCGGATAAAATGTCATGACTTACTGGAGCGATAAATTGACCGTGTTGTGGTTGCCTTGAATCTTTTCCATATCGGTTAGCTCGTTGGCCAGCTTGTATATCCATTCGCATATGACACCCTGATCAATGGTGGGGAACTCTTCAAAGTAGGCGCCCATCATCTCAACAAAGCCCTCCACATCAAAGCAAGGATCCTGCGAAGCCTCCTCCAGTATAGATATGATATAGGAGAGTACAATCTCATCCACAACGCTAAAGTCGGCACCTGGTATATGCGCACTGACAAACTGGACAAGACTCCTCTTAACCATCTCGTGTTGCTTTTCCAAATTTGTCATGGTTCCACTATTGCTTAGCTGTTTGTTTTGTTGATTTTATTTTTTTTTCTCTGATGTTCGGCGAATTTCTGTGAAGTATATATGTGTGAGTGTGTGTGTGCTATTGGTCAGCCCAGCCTAGTGGTTTTTAATGCAAAATGTGACGCTCAGTAAATTTAGTGTAAAACATTAATATCAGCTGGACCTTAAGACAAACTTGAAAATAGAATACGGTTTAAATAGCGTACTTTTTGCTTGCTGCGCCTTTCTTTTGCTGATGCTTCTTCTTCTTCTTATTTTCAATCAATAATACTTTTGCAGCGCAATTGTGATGAATATTATCGTTATCGATAGAAAAATACCATACACTAAAAGTATCAGTATAATACCGCATATGCGTGCAAAATTTGAATTAAAATACAACTATTGCAAATACCAAGAAACTTTTTGGGCTAGTTGATAAATAAAAAATTTCATATTCATGGCTATACTCTTTGCCGCTTTCGTCGTGAGAGCTAATAGAAATCGAAAGCATAGCCATAGGGATATTGAACAGAATATTTTCCATATTTATAGATATGATTTATGCGTGGCACCTCAATGCAGTGGCCTTGTGTAGAAAAATGTACAGAATATTATGTTTAATACATAAACTAGTTAAGAATATTCTGTATATATTTTCTATATTACAACGATAACAATTTCGTAATTGATAAAAAATAAAATCATATATACGTTATTACGATTGGAACTCATGCGAATTTACTTCATCTAGGAGATAATGAAGAGTATCCGCAACTGGTCTACGGCGCTTAACTAAATTAAATTTAGCAAACATCGATATGTTTTCTAATCAAATCCAATTTGGGCCGATAGGTATTAGCGGCAACAGATATAAAGCCCACTATTTTGATATATTTTACAGCACTGATAACAAGGGCCAGTATTTTAATGTCTTCAAACACAAGTGCGCTTTGTAGGTTGTCAATATATTTAACAACTGTAGCCCATTATGTGACATAAAACGTTCAAAATAATGAGAAACCTTATTAACAAGCTGTAAAAATTACGTAATAGCTGCACACCACATCGGCTTTCACTCAGTACAAATATGATTGCAAATGTTAGCTTGTTGCTTGCAGGTAGAAAATTAAAGCAGGTCAACGTATTAACAAAGTCAAGGCATCGTTCTGATAAGCTCACATTAGCCGGAGCTAGCATAATCTCGGCCAAGGAGCTGCTAAACTTGCCACTGAACTATGTATTCGTATCAGTATTAGCTGCTCGTAGCGGTAAACTCTATCATATTAAACGATGATAGTATTTAAATTGAAGTTCAAGGTCTTAATCGCTGCTAGACAAAAGAGAATCGAGAAAATCACTAATTAAAAACCACACGAAGCGCATACCAATGATAAACATACTAAATATGTAAATACAATTCGGTTTTGAAACATGTATTTTAAGACTAAAGACCCGGAAGACTGGTGAGCCGGTATTGAGACAATTGAATTGCCTATTTGGACTGGAGTAAATATTGGTCTATGTAGTTAGCAGTTGGGTTTTGGGAAAGCTCTGACTGTTCGATGGGCCATTTTTCCCATAAATGAAATGTGTTAACTGGTTTCGCATTTGCGTAATTTCTCATAAAATACCGTAATGGAGCAGCAACATGTCATAAGAGATGCCTTTTTAGTTCGTGCACTGACATTACAATTTGTTGCCGTGACAATGATAATAAATCAATTAAGTGGAAGCTATTTTTATGCCTCTTAGCGTTTGAGTAGATATTGTATTTGTAATTTTCGGCGGGCTTTTATTTTGTATTTTGGATTTACCGGGCGATATCATCTCGATGTACAGCGCGTGACTTTAAAAAGAGGTTAATAAACTTTTTAAATATAAACAACAAAAATTTTGCACAAAATGGCAAATCAGAAAAAAAAAACAGTTTTGCTTTCTTTTGGCCCGCTTAGCATTCGCATTAATTGCTTCAAACTTGACCTTACCACCAAAAATAAAAAAGAAAAACGCAAATATAAAAAATAAAATAACCCTCCGCAACTCAAATCGGCAATTAACGCGACTTCGACTTGCATCAAGCCGTATAACAAAGAAACGGCAAATGGATTGACCAAGACCAAGCCGAAACCAAAGCGACAGGCCTGGGCCTGGGCTTTTGCGTTGACTGTGTGCGTGTGTGTCTGTGTCTGTGCCGCTGTCTCTGGGCCTGGCTCCACGTTCTGGCCGCTGCCAACGCTGGCCGCGCAGCGTCGACAGCGACGTCAACGCTTCGGCCGGCGGTTGAGCGCGCATGTTTTGTTTATTTATACAGCCGAGCGTGTAGAACTCCGTATTAGTGTCTTCTTGGCGTTCGCCGTTGACGGTTTTCTCGTATCTATTTTCCCAGCATATCCAGTGTGAGTTTCTGCTCAGCAGCTCAGTGCTTCGTGGTGCAGTGCGAGTGTGTGTGTGTGCGTGTGTGTTTGTGTCCAACGGGATCATCGCAGGCAGTTACAAAGTACAAACAGGTACGGAAGTGTCTCGCTTTAGTTATCGACAATAGACCAGTGTGAAAGTGAAACCTATCGATAACACATGCATAAATCACTATTGGCCAATTGTGTGCAGCTTTTGACAGCTGGACAGCGTCCCCAAAGCAGTGTGGGCAGTGCCGAACTGGCTGCTAAATCATTCTGTCAAACTAACCTGCATTGCTGTGCACACAAAGTTGGTGATGTTTGCAACGACTGGGCTCCAGTTGGTCGACGGGGCTTGGAGCTTGGCTGCCTTGACTAATTTGTCGTTAGTTGCAATTTTGTTGCTCTTTGCTAATGCTTCTTTATTGGTGCTTGGCTCTGGCTGTCTGATTTTTTTCTAGTTGACCTTAACCCAATGCAATGCACATAGATTAAGTGCTGAAAACTTGTCTGAGGAGCTGCTGTGCTGCTGTGCTGCTGCTGCAGTTGCAGCTACTTGTGCTGCTGTTGCTGCAATTTTGCCAGTCAGCCAAGGCCAAGACTGGCAACTTTGAGGCGGCCAAAACTAAACGCTTTGAACTTGTAATCAATAAATGGCGATTGCATTGCAGCTGCACCAAGATCAAATCTAACCAGCTACCCCCGGTGCCCCGCTGCCCCCGCTGCCACTGCTCAGTGCCCCACACACACACCCAACTTCATGGCTAAGCCCACAAATGGAGCATTCGCTTTCGAGCCGAATCACGTGCAATAGTCTCAAAAGCTATTGACAACATGAAAAGACCCGAATAGTCAAAACCCAATTAACGCTGCAAATATTTACTAACTAATTAAACACTGCCTCTTTGCCGAAGACGAACCTCAATGGTTAGCTGCCCTGTTGCCAACGCAGCGTTTCGGCTAAACTTTGGCCCGACAGTCAAATTAATTCCTAGTCAGTAAACACATAAATTTGGCTATATAATATATGACCGAGTGTCTGCATTTGGCGCTAGCAAAACTAAATGATTAACCTCTGCACTACCCCCAACAAAAGCACAAATTCACAAAACGGTTTATGCAAAGCAATTTATGTATTTGGTTTTATAGTAGTACCATGGAGCATGTGCTCTATGAGCCCCATTTCCATACGGCGTACTCACCGTACCGTGCCTCGTAGAACCATAGAGCGTTGACTACTACTACAATAAGGAAATCTATTAAGTCCAAGTTGAAAAAAAAAACGGCAACAAAACACATTAATATAGCTCATAATAGGTTTAGCCAAACTTGAAAATTAATGTGCAATGTATTAATGAATATATATATAGATATTTTTTTTTCATGTGTGCATATATGTTTGTATATGTGCAGAAATACTACATAAGAAAAGAGTAATATATCCAAAGTTTTATATTTTGGAAGACTTTTCTGGAATTAATACGATTTTAATTATTGTGGTTTTACTTTAAGAGTTTAAATTTCAATTTTCAATGGCCTAATCATAATGTGTCCAATTGAAGTTTCTAATACAATTTAAAAAAAATGTTTATATATTCATATAGATTATCTTCAACTTTATCGTTGGTTTAAAAAATGATTCTGCCGAACTTTATCTACATTTTTGGATGACTCATGGAACAGCAGATGACGTCTTAGTATATACTTACTATCCATCTGGCATTTGCGCACTTGCATCTTGTTGTTCTGTCTGTGTATAGTGCTATATAGAAAAGTCTGTGTCTACGAGCGATTGTTTGAATTGACTTAGCATATATGCGTGTGAAAATCTCGTTACAATGTATACACACACCAAACATCCGTGCCGGGGCTTAGATCTGGTGCTTTTTGGTGGTACTTTGAGTCTGAGCTTGGGGGTCACACGGCATTTGTGTGAAAAACGACAGAGGGAAAATTATACAGATAAAAAAATAAAAAATCAACACATTTGTCGCCCATTGGCCTGTAATTATTTGCCCAGTGCAATTACCTAAGTGCAACTAGCGAGCTGCAGATGCAGCTGCAGTAAAGATCATTTATTGCGGCGTGTGAAAAAACAAAAGAATAGCTTTACATAGATGCATTTGTATATACACGGATCAGTGCCAGCCAAACTGCGCTTCTGCGACCTTAGTTCGCTTAGTTCAGTTGGTTTTTTGTCAGCTGTGGTTCACTTTTTTTTTTGTTTCTGTTGTTTCTGATTTCCCCACAATAATTAGATGTCAAGCATTTGGAGTAGCTTCAGTCTGGACACGATTTTTGACACGAGCTGTCGATGCTGCTGTAACGAAAAACGAAAACCGAAAAAAAATAAAATAAAATAAAAATCGAACCCAGCGCTGAGCTATTCCAATTCTGACAACGCTGCGATTTTATTGTTGTTGTTTTATTTTTTTTTAGAAAAGCAACAATTCGAGACAAATACACGCTGTTAAAGGCTACGAAATTCGCAAAATCAATTATGCATACAAATCAATTTTGCGCTGCCTGCGCTGCTGTTTTGTTTCCCCCCCCCCCCCCCCTACTCATCCATTATTGCTTTCATTTGTTTATTTATTTATTTATATATTTAAGTAGTTGGTTTTTGTATGCTCTTAACTAATGAGGCGGAAGAGCCTAGACATATTGACAGCTCACACTGCACGGCCAGCGGCCTTTTGGCTTACAAAACGATGGCAAACTGTATCAGCTCATAAGGTGCGCTCCCCAAACTGGGCAAGGGCAAGTGCAGTGGCTGTCAGCTGTCCAGCTATCGAGTCGGCCGACTGTCCGTCGTTTGGCGTCACATTTTTGGTCATGATAATGCCGCGCAGCTTATTTTCCTGTCTCCAGTGTCAATCTGCTGCTGACGCTAGCAGCTCGGCCCAGCCTGGGCTTGCATACAAATCAGTTTCGGGGCTCAGCAGATTGCCAGCGTCACTTGGTACGCTTCTCTGCTTCAGGCACAGTCCGGTCCACCATAGCTAGCCTTTGGGGTTGTTAATTGTCTGGGCTGCAAATGTGGCACAGTCGTTGGCATTGCAGCGTTCGTGTAAGATCAGTTTGATAGAGTCATCAAATGTCCACAGCTGACAATAGCTCTGCAACTGTCACAGTTAGCCAGCTCTTCAGATAGCGATGTATATTGACACAGATATACATCAAGCATACGCCAGGTGTGCTGAACTAGTACATTGAGTTCGCGTGTCGCCCATTCGCATAACAATTCGTTTTTAGAGCAGACTTGTTGATCGATCAGCCAGGCTTTGGATAAAACGTTTAACAAATCCAACAAAAATAATTATAATTATAGTATATATATAGAAGTTTTACAAATTAATAAACACCAAGTTCAGTTCAATAAACGCGGAGGCCCGAAGCTGTTGAAATTCCAGCCGACAAACTGGAAATTTCCAAGAACTTACACAAAATACAAAACCAAAATTAAAAATACATAATATTAAAACAAAATACTGGATTCAACGGCGGCCCTAGCAAGGCCGTCAACCGGAAGTGTTGGCTATGTTACGGTTCTAGGCACTAGATCAAATACGTTTACTCAAGTTAAACATAAAACAAGTTACCCAACGGGGCTCACACAAAAGAAACGTAAAGTAATTGAAAATTAATGTCTCTTAATCATTTTCTAAGCACATTCAGTTGATGTGCAGACAAAACAGAAACCCCTCCCAACCTCCTACCAAAAAAAAAAAATGTGCTCAATGCTGTTCCGCGTGCAATTTAAATAACAAAAAGGAATAAATGTGTGTATATACAATATTTAAATAAGCGAGCCATAAGCGAGTTATGCAAGCAGCAGATGTTGCTATGTAAATGCTTAGAACATTGCCTTTATGTGTCGCAGTATCCGTGTGTGCGCGCGTGTGTGTGTGTGTGTGTGAGTCTGCGCCATCTTGAATACTAAAATCTCCCATGTGTGTAGCTACACTTGGCATCTGCAAGATGAATGCCAAAGTTATACGACTTTAGTGCCAAGGCGAAAAATTCAAATCTAGCCTTGTAGAATGCCACTACACACACACACACACACGCACACACACACGCGCTCACACTAATACCACAGCACAGCTTGATCAGGTCTTTGCGGTCGCTGCCGCAGAACCACTAAAACCAAAAGCCATCAAGAAGCCGCGCGTTTTAATTATGCGAATTCTTTTATTATTGATTTTTTTTTTAGTTTTATTTTAGTTTTTTGTTTTTTTTTTTTTAAATTTTTTTTTGTTTCATAGCAACTGCTTGTTGCACCGGCTTGGCATTGATCAATTGAGACATTTGTATAAGTGCTTGCTGCAGCCTCTGTGTGGCAGTTGCTGGCGTCATTTATTGCTCATACGGTTTTGGGCTTGCGTCGAACCCCCGCCGCCGGCTCCGCCTCCCTTGCCGGCAGCGGCCCCTTTTGCATATGGGATAAGCATTTTCTTTTCATTAAATAAAATATTTGCGTGCTTAACTGCATTCCTATGCCGCGCACGCTCACCTGGCGAGCATAATCAAGCACCCGTCTCCAGGCAGCAGCAATAGCAACAGCTCCAACCCGTCTCCCTCTCCGTCTCCGTCTCGGAGCTGAGCCGGACGTGCGCGGCCTGTCTAAGCAGCGGTCAGCTTAGAATATTTCATTCAATAATTTGGCAACGCGCTCTACAGACGTCAAGCGGCCAATTTATAAAAAAAAATGGGGGAAAAAAAAACGAAAAAACACGCTCGAGCTAACGAAAATTTCTAAATGTCTTGCGATCTCTTTTTATTTTATTGCAGTCGTAGCTAAACTAAAATGACGACCTACATGAAGATATTCGAGGAGCGCATCTCCGGTCTGGCCAAGGGTGTGGGTAAGTGTAGACAACTTGATCTACATATTGTTCAATTTTTATTAAGCCCAAACTTTATTGGGACAGATGAAACGGTGGATAGCTGGTTTCTGATGAGCTCACCGGCTCCCGTTGTCGCTGTTGTTCTGGTTTATTTGGCATTTGTGCTTAAGATTGGGCCGGAGTACATGAAGAATCGCAAGCCCATGGATCTGAAGCGTGTTATGGTCTTGTACAATGCCTTTCAGGTCTGCTACTCCATTTGGATGTGTCGCACGGTAAGTACACGTGGCGTATACTTAACGGAGACAATTGTTAATTGTATGTAACACTCTTCTGCCACAGTCCATCAAGGAGAGCAATGTCATGGCATCGATATTATCAAAGAAATGCGAAATAAATCGCACACGAGAACAGAATTTGGCACTTTATTCGGGCGCCTGGTTCTATTTCTTCTCGAAGATCATTGATCTGCTGGACACCACGTTCTTTGTGCTGCGCAAGAAGAACAATCAGGTCTCGTTCCTGCATGTCTATCATCATACGATCACAGTGCTCTTCTCCTGGGGCTATCTGAAGTATGCGCCCGGCGAGCAGGGCGTCATCATTGGCATTCTCAACTCTGGCGTGCACATCATTATGTACTTCTATTATATGGTCGCTGCGATGGGACCTCAATATCAGAAATATCTGTGGTGGAAGAAGTATATGACCAGCATTCAGCTGATACAGTTCGTCCTCATCCTTGGCTACATGTTGACCGTCGGCGCCAAGGGCTGCAATATGCCAAAGACACTGACCTTCTTCTTTGTGGGCAACACGATCATCTTCCTCTATCTTTTTGGCAATTTCTATCGCAAGACCTACAACAAGAACAAGAGCCTCGATGCCAATGGTCATGCCATGCGCAATGGTGGCAGGAGCTTGAATCTGGCCCAGTCGGCCCTGCGCGCTGCCGGCGGCATGGGCTGCATGCCGATGCCTTCCAAGAACAACAACACCAACAACAACAGCAGCAGCGACTTCAAGCCCTATATCGATCTGAACAACAACAATGTGAAGCCCCTGAAGGTGGAATGATCCATTTAGGCTATGCACGGGGCTTGGTGGGGTTTCTTTGTTTATAGTTTAACTTTACCTTTTTTTAGAGCAGGGCTTAAGTCTAGTGTTAAATGTTTAATCCATAACCCTAACTGTATATGAAATGATTCTGAATAATGAACTTCTTAAATGTAGAATGTATAAAGTTTATGCCAAACAGCAGAAGATTACATCCAAATACCTAGGCGTGTAAGTGTTTGTGTGCGAGTGTGCGTGTGCCTGAGTGTGTGTGAGTGCGTGCGTGTCTGTGTATTGCCCTAAGTATTGAAATGCAAGAAACTTATTGTTAATTTTTTATTCGAAATTTGATTGTTTCCAATTATATGATTTCTGAACAAAATAATAAATCCAAATTTATTTTAACTTTTTTTAAAATGAAAACAAAAAAATCAATTTGACTTTTTATTACTATTTCAAATGTGTTCTATGCGTTCTAAACCATTTTGGCCTTCGAGTTCTTTCTAATCACCTGACAAACCAGTTGTCTTTCAATATATATATATATATATAATATATATTGACGATAGCCGCAGGGTTCCCCCAAGCCCCTGAAACTTGAGACCAACGCTGAAAATTAGCTCGTGTCAAGCGATATACTAAATTTATGCAGATCCCAACTGCTGAGTTTCTATTATTGCAATGATTAATACCCAGACAAATCACGGGGCCTTCGACTCGAACTTGACTCGCGTGCCTTATAATTATGCAATTGTTTCTTATTTTATTTGTTTTTTTTCTTTTCATCTAACACAAAAACAGGTTCATCCAGCGATTCGCTGAGACATTATGGCGACTCTTAAGAATCACCAATTCAAAGGAAATTAAAAATTCAAATTCCTTTTTTTTCATCCAATACTCAGCTACACATGGGGCAAAGGGTATATTATTATTGTGGCCTGATATATGTATGATGCCTAAATAATTTCTTATTTAAAACTTTGTGCTCGAAGCGGCGAAAAGCTGTTCTGGTATGCTGTCCGGTGCGAGTCCATGCCGACAAGTTATTCCAGAAATAAAAAGGCGAGGGACTTAACATAGTCGCCCACCCTTGTTCAGGCAGTATATCATACCATTAATCACCACATATGCAAATGAATTTTCAGAAAGTTCCTGAACGAGTCGTGTCTTCCAGAGATCAAGTATAAAGCGCGTTGGCCGCACCAATCATCTGTCTGTCTGTATTTTTGGTAATCTTTATATATAGATTGACAATTTGAAGGTGGAATATTTTATGCGGTTGCTATTAGCACGTGAACCTTTTGAAAGTTGGTAAAACTGGTATTTTTTTTAGGGATAATTGATGTAACTGCATCAGGAGACTTCTCCATGCCCATAAAGCATATATTTTCATGCTCAGCGTCATCTGCTGAGTCAATGCAGCTATGTCCCTCAGGCCTTATGGCACTACAATGCAATTTTGAACAATGGTCCTGTTGCATGAAAAGATCGAGATTATTTTAGAACAGGGAAATCATGCCTCGCTCCCACCAAATTGTGTGTGTATGTCAGTAGATATATAGATACGATTATAGATATAGTACTGACTAATATGGCCCTTAGCTAAGAGAATACTACATCCATAAACAAGCAACGGATTCGAGCCCGGATTCTCGTTTTTCAGTTCCCTTGGACTGTAGGCCAGTTATTTATATACCTGATGTGTATTTAAAAACCTGCATAGTTAAGGTCTCGTTGAGTTGACAAATACGTTGACCAATTAGGTCAGCAGCGTTTCGAATATATTGAAAAATGGGAATTTGCGTCAAAAAACTGGCATACTTTGAGGCGCAATTGAAAATTTATGGAAATGAGTGCGAAAATGAACTGTAAAAATCACAAATCTTATTATTTCTGCTCGATAACGATTCGGCACATACATATACTCACTTAAAGACAACTCCACTATTATATTAAGCTCGATCAAGATTGTTGTTTTTTATTGAAGATCTAAACACAAATGCAGCCTTCAAATCTGATTCATAATTAATTCCAATTGGAAACGTATTACTGAAGTAAATTACATTATAATAATAACAATAAATTTAAATACTCACAAAAGGCTTATTTCTCTTATACCAGATTAATGGTCATTGAATATTATTTTTAATTAGACCAAAAGCTATTAAATTTCTAATTTGAAAAAAAATAGCATCATGAATTGTTTAGGCGACCCCAAATCACGACCCTGCGCTGAAATCTGCGATAATCTAAACAATATCAAAAGCAGACCGAAAATCGAAGACACAAAGAATCAAATGCGCAGACGCTAAGAGTTTGTGGTCAAGATCAAGGCCGAAAGCAGAACCGGCTCAAATGCTACTGTTGGCAGCTCTTGATGCTCAGAGATGCTGCCCGCTGCTTGCTGCTCGCTGCCCGTCAATTATGCTTTTCGCTTCCGCTTTGGGTTTTAAGGTTCCGTTTTTCAAACAAATTGATCAATAAAAGGTTGTGTGAAAAACCCATGGCCTGTGCGCATCATATATATATGTTTATATAAATATATAAAAATATTCTCATCTCAACGGCTGTCATCCTCAAGGTGAGCTTGAAATCGGTTTATGTATATTGTCTTTTGACTGCCTTGCCGGGTTCTTAACAATGGCAATATCTGTTCTGCAATTATATTAAAATTCATGAGCTTGATCAATCTGCATGGCAAGCATCGATCGAGCTCTGGGACCTGTTCTGACACGCCCAAAGCATTTGGTTAAAGTCTTTTGTCCATGTCTTGGATAAAGATTCAATGCTTCCGCTACACTCAGCTTTATCCGTATGATTAAGATAAAATTGCAATTCATGGAGCACCAGAAATTATACGCAATGCTTAAAAACAATTCAAAAATTCATGGTGTGTGTTTTTTTTTTTTTTTGGAAAAATATGACGTATATTTCTTTGTATTTGTGGTTTCTTTTCGTTTGTGCCTAAGTACTTTACATGCCAATATCTCTATATGTATATATATATATATAAATGTACACTTTATTTGTATAATATCTAAAGGCACATTTGCTTATGCCAAATGCGTATCTTAACTTATTTAAACAACTAATTCCTTTTTTTTCTTCTTGTATTCCTAGGGGTTTGCTTAACTTAAATCGAGGTTTTTGTTTTTTGGGCCGTAAAACATACAACTTCTTTCATTTGTGTCAAACACACATCAAACGAAGCGTCGGCTGCGAAAAGCATTTAAATGTTTGCCTATTAACTCGAACCTCAACTTCTCAATATTTTCATTTGTTTTCTTCTTGTTGTTTTTTCTTCTTATTTTTTTTGGCGGCAGCGGCGGATTACTTAACAAATTAGTCAACAAAGTTGTGCATAGAACAACGCCCGCTCCATAGACTTAAGCATTAGATGGTTTAATTCCCACACTCGAAAATGAAATGTTTTGCCTAAATTTTCGAAAGTTGCCATCAACTTTAGAAAATTGCAATGTTACACATTTTCTGCATTTCTCTAAATATTGGAAAATGAGTAAAATAATAATTTTATGGCGATCTTCAAAACTTTAGATAAACCATTTTATCAGTGCATATTTAGATTTTGTATGTGAGTTCCCATTACGTATTTGTGTGTGTATGTGTGGGTGGTATTTTTGGAGAGGTTGGAGGGGTGAGCTGCTCTACAGCACCTTCTTTTGCTGTGCTGTGTTTGTGGCTATGGCAGCATTTAGATTCTTGGCACAGCTATCGTTGTTGTTGTTGGTAATGCTCTCTCTGTCGGCCTTGGCCTTGGCCGCTGCCTGCTTCTTCTTGTAGGACTTCTGGTAGAAGTCATTGAACAGGAAGTAGAAGAACACGGCATTGGGCAGCGTAAAGCAAACAGACCATCTCGGATAGCCGCAGTCGGTGTAGAGGAGCTGGGTTTGATGTATAAAAGCGCAGCAGAATTGAATCTAAGTGGAAATAAATAGGCACGATTACATACATATACATATACAGTAATCTATACTGCACTTACCATTTGCAGATTGGTGATGTGCTTCTTCCACCACAGATACTTCTGCATTTTGGGTCCAAATGCAGACAGGAAATAGTACGAGTACATGATGATATGCACAAACGAGTTGATCCAGCCAATGAAGGTGCCATGGCCGCCGGGATAATACTTGGATGTGCCCCAGCTGATCATGGGCATGACTGTGTGATGATAGACATGCAGGAATGTCACCTGACGATCGTTCTTGCGCAGCACAAAGAAGATCGTGTCCAGCAGCTCGGTGATCTTGGCCAGATAATAAACATAAACTACACGCGCCTCTCTGTACGCTTTCGGCGTCCGTGACCAATCGACCGGCTGGCAGCGCCAGCTGTAATACTGCCAAATGACCACGCCCTCGTAGACCATCCAAACGCTGAGCGCCACCTGAAAGAAATTGTAGACGAGCAGCGTGCGCTCCAGCTTGAAGGGTTTGCGATCCCGCATAAAGCGTGGACCCCACGACAGCACAAAGTACAGATAGAAGGCCAGAATGGTCAGCAGCGGCAGCGGCGATTTGATCAGGAACCAGTCATTGGTACGCGGATCTATATAAGCAAGGATAATACATAATTAGAAAGGTTAAGTGCTTGAATCCTGATGCAATCTGTTGCCACCAAAAATGACACTTACCGGCCAGCTCGATGAACAGAAAGTTCCAATAGTCCGTTTGTGTTGCGTTGACGGCCGCCATTTTTAAATTTTTGTGTGTCAACTTCCTCTGCTGGTTGTCGTGTTTTAAGACAAACGTTTGGTGGGTTACCGGTGGGAAGGGGGGAAGCAGAAGTTGTTGCTGTGTGTGAAATTTAAAAATCTGCTAAGCGCGCAAGCGTCTAAGCGAACGAGTTTTGTCCAATGTTCTGCAATGGGGAGGGAGAATTCATATTGAAAATAAGTTAAGAAAAAGTGTGCGTTTTTCAAGTTCATAAATATTTAAATATTTAAAAATATGTTGATGGTTAAAACGAAGAAGAAGAAGCAGCAGCAGCAGCGACCAGTTACTTTGCCATTAACAAGATCGTTTGGGTCTTTTTGTTTTGCAGCGGCTGTTGCTGTTGCTGTTGCCGAGCGAACATGATTTGGCTAAAATAAAAAAAAAAACACGATAGCAGTTGACTTCTTAGTTGCGGCACGCTCAAGCGGCTAAAGATGCAAATTGAGACACAGATACACATACAGATACAGATACAGATACAGATAAATATACAGTTTGCTGTGTGATGTCAACGCTTAAGGCGTGGCTATTAGACAAACGCAATGTTTCGGCTTCATGTTGGCACCGAAAACTAAAAACTAAAACAAGAAAGAACTGCCAGCTTTGACAGGCCGAAGATTAAACACCCTTGCAAACAAACGGCTTTAAGCTTGAAAGATATGCGAGGAGAATTGTAAAGATCGTATTTGTTGACGTTAACGTTGACCTTACGTTAAGATAACTCGTAAAACAGTTTAATATTGAGTAAAGCTCAACATTTGGTCGATTCTTTCTAGAGCGTAATATTATAAGGTTGCCTGAAGTTGATTAAGCTTGGATCATATATGTGGAGCATGGCACAACTAATTATGTAAAAGATAAACAACAAACTTTATCACCAAATAACTTCATTTTCAACCGCATTTTCCTATGGAAGCTCAATGATATTCTGATCAAAAGGATGCATAAAGAGGGACCTATGCGAAGATTCGTGATGACAGCTTTAAGCCTGAGGGTCTATTTCCCATAGAAACAGCCAGAAGTACAGATGGACATATCGACTCGGCTGTTGTTACTGATCGCATATCTTTCCTTTCATGCGCTACAAATTTCATGACGAAACAAAAATACCCTCTACAAGTGTATAAAATAAACCCTGGGCTGCTGAAAGCTGTCGCCGTTTACTTTCGGCTGTTTTTGTGCCTGCTTGTGTGTGTGTGTGTGTGTGTGTGTGAGTGTGTTTGTGATTGCTGTGCAATGCAAAATTATCATGTAACCGAGTAAGAGTAAATTATATTCATTATTATGAATTAAACAAGCGTAGAAAACAAGTTGCTTCACAAGATCACAAGTAATTGGGCGACGCAGCAAAAATGTTGGGCATCCACGCAGCTCACGTGTGGCACAGTGGCACGAAACGAACGAAGCAGTAACAAATTGTACGTTAAATAATTAACAAAATGCAGCAGCAACAAAAAAAAACCGCTAATAACTGTAAACGAGCTGGTAGAAGTGGCTACTTGAACTCCGCAAAGGCCAACATTTATCAAGCGGCTTTAAGTGGCTCCGAATTTTGGCCATTTCCGTGACTGCGTTTTTTGGTTAGCACCAATATTCTGGGCAACTTCATCTATTTGGCTCGATCAAAATGAAATATATTAATTGTATGTTGAAGGGCAAAGCTTGGCTCTAACAAGCCGCAAGCCGTAAGCCAACTGGTTTTGGCTCATTTCCTGCACTGGCCGCTTGTTTGATTTTTCGTTGCTGCAACAATCAACGCAGAACGAACCAGAAAATGAGCTGTGACCAAAAGCAACAAAAAAACAAACACCTTAAAATAGAGGTGCTAAAAAGCCCGTGTTTGAAAGAGAAAAAAAACCGTATTTTCGGCCCAAAACTATGCCGCACAGAATCGGGTTTTCAAATTATCAATTTTAAGACTGACAAAAGTCAAATAAACAAATAGACGCGCAAATGAACCATCAAATTTGCGCTTGGCTAATGAACAAATGATGCCTAAGACCTTGCCATATTTGTTGGTTTTTTTCGTTTCGGCCAGCCCATTCTGACCAATGGTCGCACGGCGACACCTGTGCCTCGGTGGGAACCCACAGGCGGTTGTACTGGCCGAAAACAAGGCATACAAATCGCTTTGCCTTGCCTTGCGCCTCCGATCATCTAGAGATTTTGTGTGTGTGTGCGTGTGTGTGGTTTCCACTTGGTTAGTCATTTGTTAAAATGGGATTGGAGCTATGCAGGGGCAGGCAGCTTCTTCTACCTTGGGCCTTGGCAACACCTAAGGTGTGCAGCAAATTGTGTCAACAATTGCCAAATCGAAGCGACAACATTTCGTAAGAATCATGCGTCATATTTGTGGCTTAATTAGTGAGAGCTCTGTGTGGGGGAGGGAGGTGGGGTCAACCAAAAGTTGAATGACCTTGGCGACAACCTATTGACACGCGGGTGCCGTTAAATTTTTGCATATGATTTACATAATAATTAACCAAGCGCGCAGCTCAAAAAGCTCCCAGCTCCCAGAGATGCCCCGCTGCGGCTACTTGATAAGCGCATGCACTGCAGTTCCACACGAATTCTAAAAGTCTTTTCAAAATCTTCTTTATATATATATGTGTGTATATATATTTAAGCACTGACAAATCGGAGCACAAGCACCTGTCGCAATCGTCGCAGTTGACAGTTGCCTTCTCCAAGATTTTTACACTTAATTTACAGCAGCAGCAGCAACAACCACAACAACAACAGTGACTGCTCTTAATGCTAACACCATGACAACTGTTTTTCCTTTTTTTTTTTTTTTTTTAGTTTTAGTTTTAGTTATTTTGTATAATTATAATTATTGGTATATTAAGGGAGAGAGACCTCTGCTGGCATCCGCTACCCACGAGACTTGTACGCGTACTGAACTGCTACGCCGATTTGTTCGCTGCTATGTATAAAAATTTCGTCTATAGCTTTTGAATTTTGTTTTTTTTTCCGAAACTGGCCCTTGCCCCCCCCCCTTAACTAGTTGTTGTTGGCTTAGTGATGGTTTCTTCTTGGCTAGCTGCTGCTGGCAATTGTTGTTGTTGTTGTTGTTGTTGCTGCTGATGCTGCTGCTGTTGTTTGTTGTCTCATCTGCTGCTTAAATGTTCTTTTGTGTCGCCTCATTTGCTTGGAAGCTGCGTTTCATTGCGTTGCCTGGTCTTGTTTTTTTTTTGTTTCTATTGATCATAATGACAACAGCCTTTTGGCAAAAGCTCAGCTGGCATTTGGTTTATTGCGGGCTCTAGAGTGTTGTCAGGTTTGCCGGTTATTTCAAATAGTTGTTGACTGAATTTTAATTGATTTTGGCGCATACGTTTGCAGCATTTGTATAATAATTAATGCTTACCATAATTGTTGTTATTGGCTAGAAAATATGGTATTGGCCGAAAGAGAGCAAGCAAGAACTCGGAAACATATTCTATATAAATTATATACATACTATATATGTATATTCACGCATTAAGCTTTAGGTACAGCTGTTATTTGTTGGCATACCCAAACCTTGTTCCATATTTCAGCTTTAAACACTTTCTGGCTTTAGGTCCACTAGAATTACACGCATTGACCTCTGACTAGAGCCGAGCAAGTGCTAAGTATTCAAAATGTTCAAACATGTTGTAATATCAGACTGTGTCTATGGACAGGGAGAGGAAATAGAGCACAATAAAAAAGTTTAAAAACAAATCTTCATACGCTCAAGGTTGACATTTGGCTGGCCATTGAGTTCCGTTGATTGCGGCTCTATTCAAGGAGACACCTGACCGGGTAAGACAAAAACTAAAACCTGTCGAAAAATTATTATATCATTTTGATAATTTACATATGAATTCTTAAAGCCCAGGGCGCGATTCTTGAGCTCGACACACGAGCCACACGCCGATCGCTATTGCTCGCCAATGTCACTTCCGGGTCAAGTTTGAGGCAAACTCCGTATCAATATGAATTAATGGCCAATATTTTCTGTTACCTAGCTGGGGCTGGGGTCACTTGAAGTTGAAATTTGGTTAACTGTGTCACCGGCAAATTGAACTTGACCCTGCCGGACCAACGGCAGATTTTTATCTTTTTTTCTTTTTATGGCCTGCAAAACTCGTCCAGTTGGGTTTGGACTGGTACCAGCTGCTCTGGGCCAAGATTGCCATTTTTACGATTAGCCGGCTTAGACAGTATGCCTACAGCTGTGAATGATAACAGCCGTTAGTCACTTATCAATAGTTTATCCTTAGGCAAATGGAAGACATCACTCATACGCAGCGTAGCGCGCAGTCTTCCGGCCGCAGCAGCATTCAACCAGATTTGTCGCTTGCTTTTGTTTGCCGTGTCTTTTACAATCTCCGATCATTCGGACACACAAACACACATCGTAATCATATGCAAAAGTTTGTTGATTTGGTTTATTATCGTGCTGCAGATGTTTCCACCTCGCTGACGAGGCGGCTGCCACGAGCTGTGAGTCGAGCGCCGCAAGACACGAACCACTTGCAGAATATGCTAATTTCTTCCGCAACTATTTACATATAAACATCGTAAAAAAAAAACCGTTAACAATTATTATTGATTTTTAATTATTAATTGCGATTCTTTATAAACAAAAAAAAGACGCGCAATTAAATGTACAAATTTCTTTGACTCTTTGTTTTGCCGCATTATTTTTATTCAGTTCCTAATTTGACAGTATCAAGTTCCGAGTTATTACAAATTACTTATTAGTTAATTTCGCCTTACACATTTATTCTGCCCACAGCTTGTCATGGATTCTCATATTTGTCAAAAACTGATCAAATGCAACTCCCAAAGGCGTTTTGCAAATGACACTTTTAATTAATAAGGCATTTATTACATTAATTACCTAAATACAACATTAATATGTTTATTACAAGCCACAAATGACAAGTTGATGAGTATTTTCATATGTAATAAAATGTTTAATGAATCGTTTAATTGTTGCTTGCGCATTTTTCAGATATTTTGCAGCATTGTTAGCGCCATCTACAGCTCGTTGCTTTAAGCTTGGCTTTGAGCTTCTACAGATGTGACCAGATATTTTTTCAAAGTTAAGCTTGGCTTTGATTTTTTCGTTGCTTATGCTAAAGCTTTGAAGCTGTTTTCAACGCCTTAAAGTCTACTAACTATTCTTCGCATGGCCGAACTGTTCCAATAAAGAGATAAAATACTTATTAATTAATCATAGATTTCAATCATCCCTAACTACTTAAGTAGGTGCAAAGTAATCCGATTTTGAAAGTATTAAAATATTTTTATTGGCAAATTAATTAGAAGGGTTCTGGATCTTTACATTTCTGCATATTGGATAATAAATAAATAAAAAATATTTAACATAATGTCAAATGTATCTTTTCTTGTTCTAAAAAATAATATAATATAATATAAAATTTTTGTTTTTGAACTTCAACTTATCACAAATGTGAGAAAAGACAAAAGACTTTTTCAAAACTACACCGATTTTTACTTTTAATAAAATTTTGAGTTGACGCGTAACTGTAGATTGTTTCTTAATTTAAATATATATTTGTACCTTTTGTATATATTTATATCCACGATAGAATGTGTTTAAAAATTTGATTTCAAACATTTTTAAACGTTGATCTCTAACATCAAAATAAGTATAATAATGTGGCTCTGGTTTCTCTCTTTGGCTATGGTTTGATCTTTAGAACAATAAACCGTTTCATATTATCTTCTCTTATGCTAGTTAAATTTGAATGGAGTACAAAACGTGTGCAAAACACGTTATCTCTCAAATATGTAAAATACATGTAAATGTGATTTGAAGCCCTTGCGTATTACCAAGAACACATGAGAATGTGTTTGTAAAAAGTCATTGCACTGCGAAATAGTTCTAGTCTTATCACTAGTCTAGTTTTACGCTGTGTACTGTGGCGCAAATTAAACTTGTTTTAAAGCACGGAAATACCGTCTGAATCTATCAAATTATATGAAGCCGTTTAATAATTTAGCGTCTGGCGTTGTGGATCGATCGAGCTGGCAAATGTAGCCTCAGCGCTTTTGCGGCTAATCGAAATCAGCGAAATACCGTTGATGCTGTGTGCCCTTGCCAGAAACTCGTTTAACGTATTGAAAAAAGATTAGTTAACAGAAATTAAAAAAAATCATTTATTTACTTCCGTTTCCTGATCGCAACCAACTGCGAAAAAGCCGATAAACCTACTTACAGTTAGACGTTTTACATATTGCGCTAAATGTATAGCATTATGCAAACGTTTTGCATTTTACTTGATTAATTTATAGCTTTATGTTTTTTTAATTCTAGTTGGCCAATTTGAGGTGAGCAGTTCGCGATTTAATGAAGAAACGCATGAACCCAACTATGTCAAGTTCAAGCTGAAATTTTGTTTGGCCAAAGACGCAGCGTCTGATGAACTATTCTTGGACTCGCTTGGCCTGGGCTATTATTTTGAGCATATATTAACTCAGAATCAAAAAAAAGAAATAAAAAAACGCTGTTCAAGTTCAAAGTCGGGGGCTAAATGTTGCCAAGAACATTTCCAGTTTGCGGCTTTACTTGTGCTAACTACACGTTAAACGGCGTTTATGATTTTGTCTTCACTTCAACTCCAAAGTCGTAGAGACTTTATATATGTTTGTATACCCTGAACCCCCTGAAAATGGGTATAATGTTTGCACGGGAGTGTATGTAACAGACAGTCGCAAGCAGCCCCATAAGCTTTATATATTCTTGATCAGTTTGAAGAGAATATTCCATCTAGCCATGTACGCCTGACTTAAAACCTAGAGAGTAGCATAACAAAAGCAGAGCAAGTTTGACATAGTTCGAGTTCTTTAGCTCGAAGACTTTGAAAGTAACATACACAAAACATTGCATCTAGATTCTCGTATAGTACACACAGATTGAGTACATTTAACTTTCTGAATCCTCCACCATTTGCACAGTTAGACGCCACATTTGGATGCCGAAAATGTCAAGAATGGACTGTCAAAGTCGAAGCTTTATGTTGAAGACTGCACTTCCTATACTGTGTGGCTGCGAGACGATGGAGTTATGTATAGAAGGAAGCTGTGTTCAGGGTATCTCCCAGTCGGTCACTGCCACTAGATCACTTTTACTTGTTTTTGTTTTCTTGCGCTCGCTTAACACGAGCCATACACACAACTTGTGCGGTTGTTGCTCCGTCATGACGCGATTCATGTACTTTGACTGGCCTCAAAGTGAACGATGATGGGTACATGCATAAATATGACGTTCATTCAGACTCAGTGGCATTTGTAAGCAACGCATATATATATTTGGCCAACTGATTAACAGCCGGGCTTGCCACATGGCCACACGGCACTTTTGGGCAAATTAGTGAGCGTCGGGAGCTAGCCGTCAATGGCCGGCCATCAATGGATCTATGGTTCGGAGATTGTGTATATGTGCTATGGCCTTTCCTAATGTCTCCACAACTACTGATTCTTTGGTCCAAGCCTTTTGCATTGGGTATTGCCCAACTAACTTCTCAGTTTGTGCTATCAATTAGTACCAAAATATTTGTGTGCTTGCCAATATATGAAAACAAACAAGAACAATTAACGTTGAGCGCTAACGACTTTTAGATTCTCTATACAAAACATATACATATTTCAAAATATAGTTTCACATGTAACTATACGTGTTGTATGCTTAACTTTTCTTTCACATATATATATATATATATAATGTTATTAGCCATACTCTTGGTGATATATAATATGATCAGCCTTTGTACTGGCATCTACTTTTAAACAAATCCTTTCTAACTATACCAGGCGAATACATAACTTCCCCAAGGGCCCCACAAGACGCAAAAGCTGTGATATTAAAATTAAGAAAATGTTGTAGCCAACAAAAAGTTTTGTTTATTTACCTTGTTATTTCCAACTATTTGCACTGTTTAATTGAAATCGCAAAAAGTATTATAATTGCTTAAGAAATGGGTATATGACAGCACAAACCAGATTTATTATGATATAATGTGATGTATTAAATAATAGCTTATTCTTAGTGTGCATATATAATTAACAACGAGGATCCGGGTTCAAATTCTAGGCTAGTATCTGGCCAATATAAGCTATTTAAACTGTAGCATATATGGACAATTATATATTAAGTGTAATAATAAAATTAACAATAATGATAATAATAATAATAATAATAATAATATTAATAATAATAATAATAATAATAATAATAATAATAATAATAATAATAATAATAATAATAATAATAATAATAATAATAATAATAATAATAATAATAATAATAATAATAATAATAATAATAATAATAATAATAATAATAATAATAATAATAATAATAATAATAATAATATTAATAATAATAATAACAATAATAATATTAATAATAATAATAATAATAATAATAATAATAATAATAATATTCATAGTAATAGTAATCATAATAATAAAAAATACAATATTTATTATAATAATAATAATAAAAATAATAAATAATATTACAAAAAAAAAGTATTAATAATAATAATAATAATGATGTAAGCAATAACAATTATAAAACTATTAATACTTATCACAGAATTAAAATTAATTTTAATATGTAGGATTAAAAGAGATTATGAAGCATCGCACTTTACTGTCTGATAGCTATCAAAACAATATTATTCGAACTGCAACAAAGCACAGAAAAGGCTATAATTTTTTGAGCCGATAAAAGCTTTCAAGGTCACAATAAAACGGCTAAGCAGCGGACTCTTTTGGCTAATACGAACAAGAAGATAAATTTACATTTATCGTCGCAAAAGCCAAACGAAAATCAAATTGAAAAACCTAACTGTTTCCATGACGCTGGCAATAAAGTCGTGTAACATTGTTAACTAATTGGATCTAGTTGTTTAATTGCAAATCATTGAATAATAGCATATACATATATATATCTGATGATTTGGTTAATAGCTGCTTATTAAATTGACAGTCAACAGCCAGAGGGCCTTTCGAAAAGTTTCCGTTTATCAATGAACTAAGCAACAGGGGTTAGCGGTCAAGTTGGATAGCCCACGCCTCCGGCACGTTGTGCTAATTTAGTTAGAAATTTATTGATTTCATGTGTGGTTGCTAATTAAAATTATTGCATTTATTACCTTAGTTTTAATTGCTGTTGAGCAACATGTTTTTGTTATATTTTTTTTTCTTTAGTCTGCTTCAATTCAGCAAATTATTTGCCGGCTAATGACGCTGCACTTTCGGAGCATGACTTTTAAAAAGACTCTTAACATTATATAGGGTATATATATATATATATTTGTATTTTGGCTAGATGTGAAATTGAAATGTTTCAAACAGCTTGCAGCGCTGACAAACTGCATCACCTTGGCTATTAATCAAAGACGCGCATCTGAGCAAAAAATTAATCTATGCATAAACATTTTAGTACACAAATTATTATTAGTTATGAGTCAAAAGCGTTTTGCCATGGGCTAACTGGAGCTATGAGACGGCGGTAGCTAGATTGTTTCACCGCGTATATTTATCATCGATGTTGGTCAGCTGTTTTTTTGTCGGCTTTGCAGCGACTTCCGACAGCCGGCATCTAGCCAAGACCTAGACCTAGACCGTGAAAGCAAAATAAAAAAAAGACACACGCACACACACACACACACACCGGCTACAAATCCGGCTCATGCCAAGCTGCGCAGAATTGATCAAGCCTTAGACTAAATCGTGCTCATTATGATAACCGTTAGCAACAGCGTCGACTGCAATGTCATCCTGCTGCCATTGAGGCACAGTTCGCTGTGGCTTTGCCAACATGGCCAAAATAATCAAGTGACAGAGGGTCAAGCGCACTTTAAAGAACCATTTTGGACAATGTTAATTTGTCAAATGAGAATCATTTTGGAATTGTCTTAACAGAGCAGCCAGTCAATTGTTGTTGCACGCGCACATTTCAATGGCATAATTAAGATTTTATTTCGTTTACACAAAATGACAACCGATTGCGACCTCGTCCATGCACGTCCGCGCCCTGCCACGCAGCCACACATACCGCCATACATTTTATTATAGATGAAGGGTCTTACGTTCTTGGTCACACGTCACATTTGGTCTCAGAGTCCAACCCGAAAAGTTTATAGATCTTAACACATGTTGATCGATAACGAGACGCTTCTGGATGCCACTTTTATTTGTTGATCACATATTCAAATGATTTACGCCAAGGGTGTGCATAAAAAACTGGCTTGGAAACATCGAAAGTCTAAATATATATGAATGGGCAACCAGAATTTAAAATTAGAATTGAGCTAACAACAGCAACAGCCGGCGAATGGCTTATATTATACCAAATTCTTGTTTTGGTTTCACTAATTTTTTTTTGTTCTTAACAGTCTGGCTTAAGAGTCGATTATTTTGGCATGGTTGGCATTAGACTTAACTGAAGGCAGGCATATTTTGAAAACCATTAAACAAACGTATTTGAAAGTTTCTGACTTTTGTTGCTTAATATTTATGCTCATATTTCGCACTGTCATATGCAAATAATTATTGCACCAATTATCAAATTTAATGTTAAGCACAAAAACCTTTTTATTTATTATTTTAATACCCATATATATACCATAGAGTATATATAGTCACATAAGCCAAAAAGCAGACTTCTGTCCCATAGAACCTGAACTTATGTGAACCTGTTTTAAATCTGAATACTTTTTGAATTTCGGGAAGCCTTAAAATCACTTAAATGGGTTATAAAAAGCATAAACTTCTGAAAATGTATATTAGCTAGCAGCGCAAAACCCATTAGGAATGTTGCACTTAAAACCCAAGACATTTTATGCACAGTCTTAGAATAGCTAATAAGTAATTAATTAGATTGTTTTATGAGTAAATGAAACAAACTACACAACTATTGCCTGGACATATGCATATGCATATGCGCAGCCCAGCATAGAGATGAAAGATAATAAATATGCATTTAACCAGTTTGTGAGTGACAATAATTAATGTTTTTTAGTGCAAAACTCAACTCAGGCAAAGTAACAAGTTTGACTTAAATGTAATTAAGCCAAACGTATTTGACCTGTTTTCCTTTTTATTCTTAATAAGTATTATTTTAGAATTGCGAATGTTTTACTTAAGTACGAGCTTTAATTTTTTTGTCATTACGGTAAAGTGAAACAATCTTTATATTATTATTAATATAAATATTGTCAATATATTTATTACATTTTGGATTTACCTATTAAATTGTCTAATAAATACATATTGACTATATATAAATATTGAGAAAAAAATGTAAATAAATTTGTATTCAACAGTTTAAATTTACATACTGTATTCAAGCTAAGGTTTTTGCGTTTTAAAGTTTTGCATTGATCCAAACTAGTTTATTAAGACCATCCCCCGTTTTGCAGTGCATTGACCCATAAAAATTGCAATCTGGCTCGCCCGCAGCATGATCACAACAACAACAACAACAACAACAACAACTGCAAAGTTGAATGCCATTCGGAACTTGCTAAATCAGCTAACACCAAAGCGTGCGCTCAGTGGGCCAATCCAAGCTGTACATACAAACACACACATAGTCTCAAAATAAGCAGCGCTTAGAGCCGCAAACATACACACACGCAAACTAACACACACACACAAGCGTCGAATTTAACGAAACTTCCGCCGTTCTGTGTGGATGTTAATAACATTCGTCAAGTTTTTGAGCTTAGGCCAGGCGAGCGAGTCTACGAATGTGTTTATTATTGAGTGTGTGTGTGTGTGTGTGTAGACTGGGGTACATACCCGTGCCTACTTGCACAGCGCTGCCTGCGTTGGCGTCGCTGCCGGCGCTGCTGCTAAAAACTTACTTTATCTTGTGATTGCTGAGAAGTTTTAGATTCAGTTGAGCATAAACATTTCTACGGTGCGGTGGTTCGAATTGGTGGCTAACTGAAATCAGCAAATGCTAAGCAGCGCGTGCTAATAACGAGACTTACAAATCAAATCAGATTCTATCATAAAACAATTAGAAGTGTTGTGAATTTGTGCCCGTTTGGCCAAAACTAAACGAAATCTTCAAAACTAACTAACGTGCAGCATGTCGTTTGCTCTTACCAGCTGACATTGACTAAGAGGCCTGTAAAGCGAGCAACATTCAAATAGGATACAGGATATATACACATATAAATATACATATATATATATATAAATATATATAGGAATAACTTATCGTATATAGAGCTTATATACAGTCAAACAAAATGGCTATGCAATACCACAACTACAACAGCAGCACACGCTACGAGATGGTCGTTGAGATAGCCAACATTGCATTAGATGAGTTTAAAACACATCATCTGACCCGCAACTACACGGGTCTGGTGCAGCGCTACTACCAGCTCGTCGAGGAGGATTACGGCGGTAGGTGTAAAATGCTAAATGCTAACATGCTAAAATGCAAATTGCAGTTAGTAGCGCCCCTTAGCCATATCAAATGTGGGCTAATAATGAAACAAAATAAAAAACAACAACAACAAAAAACCCCTTTAAAAGCTCAGCACATGCACAACTGGGTACGTCTGATGTCATTGCCAGGCCATCAAAGTGTTTGTTGAACACTCCGGGAAGTGGAAATCTTTAATGTTAGCCCATCTGGTGCACTGTCTCAATTGGCAGCTTACGCTGTAAGATCACAGCTAAGCGAAGACTTTAAAAAGCCATACAACACGATGAATTGCCAAATTTTATATGATTTTTTTTTTTTTGCTTTTTTGCGTACAAGCAAATCGTAACAACACCAAAATTGGCAAGCCACAAATCTACAACTACACCAACAACACGAAGCGACAATAACAAACTTCAAAAAAACCTAAAAGAAGCCAAAAATACAAAAAAAACTTCTAGGACAATAAAAAAAGGTTTCTTTTGTGTATTTAATGGCGACCTTGGCAATGCCAATTGTATTTTTGACAATTATTAACGTAATTAAAATGTATTTACATAGTTGAACTTAAGCATTTTTTATGACGCGACCGTCGTCATTTTTTGTGTGCAGCTGAGCATGTACAGTACATACAATATGTATGTACATACGCATCCGTACAACAATTATAACAATAACATTTGCTGAAGATGATGCATATGCCATATGTGCTTACAATACGATCTATTTAGTCGTATACCATTTTTTTTGAATTTTTGGTTGGTTTTTCGTTTTCTTTTTAAAACGTGTTTAAGTATGCACCACACACAGGCAGGCACACACACACAAACACACACACACACACACACAAACACACACACACACACACACACACACCATCGCACACCGCGCATATTGACATTCTTGACTGCCGCGCGCGGGTGAAAAGGTCAATGGAAGGCAGCAGCAATTAAAAGCAGAGCCGACAACGTAAGCCATGCCAAACGACATAATATACATATAAGCAATAAATGCGAATGCCAAATGCTCGAAAGGTCCGCAATAAACAGAAAATTAAGGAAAAGAAAATTATAAAAAACAAAAGACTTAGAACACAAACTTGACAGGGACGACAATACGAAACTCGTTGGCAATAGCTAAGATGGCGAAAAACGAGCTAAGGACACGAGCAGAAGATTAATATGTATATATATAATTATATACAGATAGAGATAGATATAGATACAAATGTAAATGGTGATATAGGTATTCAAATTCGAAGATACATATACAAAAAGAAATTTAATATTTATAAATATGTGTATATAGTTGCAGATATTGATCTTGACATAGATATATATATATATAAAGTTATGTACATACACAGATATAGAGATTTATAATTTAATATAAAGATATAAAGATTTGAATAGAGATATAGCTAAGGTTTAGCTACAGATATAAATATAGATCGAGAAATGGAAGGAGATGTAGATAAATAGATATAGATATCGATAGTAAATATATATATATTGACATAGATATTGATATTTTAATGAAGATATAGATCTACTTAGAACTGATTAGGATTTGGACTTTAATGATATAGAAATGAATAGAGCCATATATATATACAGACACATGTGTGTCTTTGATTAAGATATAGACCTACTCAGAAGTGATTTGGATATAGTTATACTCAGAATATAAAGGCACAAACTTATTAATAAATCAGAAATCCAAACAACGTATATAACTTATAATAAGTTTATAATGTGTATTCAAAATGGTTTTTAGAGCTCAATAATAGATTGAATAACATTAACAGAACAAATAACTCTTCTAAAATTCAAGAAATGCAAATTTTTTGACAAACACAAATTAAATATTTAGTTTTTTTCGAGCTCCACATTATGTTAATTAAGGTGTCCAGCTCGTTAAAACTTAAAACTATGCAAATTTGTAGACAAAAAGGTTGCTAATTAATTTGAAGAGCAAGCATTGCAATAAAAAAAAAACAGTGCAAGCTTTTCGCAGTTCAAGAACTGTCAACTCAAATTGTTGAGAACAAGTTAAAAACCTATGAATTCCATCTATAATTACACAAGTCCATGTGCAGCTAATTTCTGTGGAAAATTTGTAAACAAGAGATTTGTGATTGGCTTGAGGTATTTATTCCGGAAAATATTTATGACGGAAAATTGATGGAAATATCAATAACAGATTTGTAAATGGGGTTCACTCAAGATTCATTATTCATAACAATCTATGACGACATTGCCGCCAAGTCGTATTAACTAAGCCAATTTAAAGTCCAGTACGGTTCGATTAAAGTGTTACCTGCAAATCCGGTTTAAACTAATGTACTTCTTGTTGCTGTTGTTGCGGTTGTATTCAAATAAAACCCTCAGTGTAAACAAGATAATTGTCCACTTGAGCCGCTCGCATTACACCCCAAGCCGTAGTGAATAGTCAATAGAAACAAACAAACAAACCGAACCGGCATATTGTTTAGGTTTTATTGTAGCTGGCCACGATTTCATTCATTCGTGCAAATTGGCTACTGGCTTTAAGATTAATTCTACAGATTAATAAACGTTAAGTGCAAATAATTAAATGCCATTGACTCGACAATAACACACGGAATACGTCAGCATTTGCATAAGTCGAAAGAGAGAGAGAGAGAGAGCAATAGAGCGAGAGAGAGAGAGAGAGAGCTGATTAATTTTATAATTAATATGTAATATATATAAATCATTTTATTCTGACTTGACAGATCCACGCGCTGTACGCTTTCCCCTTATGGAGCATCCGCTCTTCACATTCGGCCTGGTCGCCCTTTACTTATCCTGGGTGCTGGTGTTGGGTCCTTTCTTTATGCGAGACCGCAAACCCTTCCAGCTGCGCCGCACACTCGTCGTATACAATGCCTTCCAGGTGCTGCTCAGCGGCTACATGTTCTATGAGGTAAGCTCTTGATTGCACTAGGAAGTTGCTTTTGCTTTTAACAGCTTAATTAACGGGTTTCTTTCATTCTACAGCATTTAATGGCAGGCTGGCTGAACTACTACAATCTGAAGTGCCAACCGGTTGACTATTCGGATGGACCCATGTCTAAGCGGGTAGGTTTCAAGAGACTGCATAAACGCGAAATATTCGATTTTTATTAGCAGACGCGACCAATTCTGTGCAAGCTATAAACATTAATAGTTGTGCTCGGTTTTATTAGTTTAACATTTGATACCCCGAACCCATTAAAAAAGTGTAAAACAGGCAGAAGAATAGATATCTTTGATCCCATAAAATATATATCTTCTTGAGCAGAACGTCTGTTCAGGTTCCTCTGTCTACGCGTCGATCTCAGACACAACAAAAGCGAAAGGCTGTTACTTGTAATCAAAATTGTCCTATGCCATACGTAAATCTTGTAAATCTCTTTCCATTTTCATAACATATTGTTCTAAGCATATCACCTCCAAAGTATTTTAGCTAGAGCTCGCTTCACAAAATTTGGTATTCAGTTTCTTATGTAGAATACACACATGTAAAATATCTCACTTTTTGGATAGCTTTGCCCTCACAAATGGGTAAAAGTAGAGCCTTGCGCTTTGTTGGTTGGCATATTTAAGCCCGTACAGATCGGAGTATGAACACCGAAGTTAAACAAGACTGCATTTCCTTTAAATCGCGTGTATCTGAAATAAGAAGGAGCACAATGGCTAAACAAAGGGAGCAAAGTGTATTTATTTTGTCGACTGTTTATAGAAGTAGCCCAAAGTACTTGCAACGTTCACTTGACTCTGGTTGCAGGGTATCTGCTGGTCGTGCACTCCCGACAAGAGCACTTTTACTTGTTATATCTTCGCTGGCTGCGCAACAGTTCGTTGCCTCTGGATGAATCATTGACCACGTTCGTTTTCAAGTTCAGGCACAGACAGTACAAAAAGCTATTTTTCGCCAGTCATTTGGTCAGTTTTTTTTTTTTCATATTTTTGTTGCCAACATTAGCTTAATTATGGCTTCTGGCGCTGCCACAAAGCAGCTGCCAAAGTCGAGTAGGGCCCAATTGAATGTGAGTTTTGGTTCTTGCTAATCAAAGCGCAATTTGTTACGCCTGTCGATCTTATTGTTTGCACACAAAGCTCTCAAGCTATTCAATTTGTGTGGCGTAAAGGCATTTAAATAAATAATTGGTTAATAAGCGTTTTCAGATTAAATGCATAATTTGGCACCAATTTTGTAAGACATAAAACCTAAATGGCGAAGTTAAACTGTACTAAAAAGTGCAGCAACCCAAACAAAAAAATAGGAAAAAGAAAAAAAAGCACTTAAATTTACATAGCTGTTGGAAACCAAGGTTGTGCATTTTTATGGTGTTTAGCAGTCGAAGTAAACCACATTTGTCAAATATATAATCAAACACTTTAGGCCCAGTTTTGGCTCTTGTCTGAGCCGCAAATCAATGAGCTGCGAAACTCATAAAATTCGATGTTGGCCATAAACCAGACGCATATTAACACAAACCAAAGAGCCGCTACTCGAAGAGCATAATCCTCCACACTCTGATAAATTTGACATCCGCCAGGGAAAAATAATGACAAAGAAAACAGTCCATAAACTGAAGGTTAAATGCTGGATGCCACAAATTTTCAGCTGCGGCGTTTGTGACACCTATCGTAAAGCTTGTTTACATTGCGCATACGCCGCGTGGCCCGCACAAAATGTGACAACGCGGCGAAATGCTTGAAATGGAAATTGTTTGCCAATGTCATCAACAAGTTTGGCCACGCTTCAAGAATCGCTGACCTTGTCGCCAGCTAAAGCCCAGCTCTCAACCTCTCTCACTCTCTCTCTCTCTCTCTCTCTCTTTCTTTATAGATGCTGAATCTGTGCTACATATATTATCTATCCAAGCTGACCGAGTTCGCCGACACCGTGTTCTTTGTGCTGCGCAAGAAATCATCGCAAATCACCTGGCTGCATGTCTATCATCATTCGGTGACGCCACTGGAGACCTGGGTGCTGGTCAAGTTCCTCGCAGGTGCGTTGCGATAAAATAAATAAATTCCATACATTCTTGACTTAGTTACAATTTGATTAACATAGGCGGCAATGCGACATTCCCCAATCTGCTGAACAACTTTGTGCATGTGTGCATGTACTTCTACTACATGATGTCCGCCATGGGACCGGAGTATGCCAAATTTTTGTGGTGGAAGAAATACATGACGGAGCTGCAGATCGTAAGTGTCGCCTAGTCATCATTATCAGAATAAAATCTGTTCCAGCATATAGCTGGCAGGCCGCCACGCGAATGTATTTAGAAACTTGTTTAGAATATATATAATATATATATATATATATATATATTGCTAACTAAGGCTCCGGCAGAGCCCAATGGCAAACCTGTTAGACCTGACCGCCGTCACATAAAATGGTATTAAACGTGCTGGATATACCTATTGCCAAAAAACCGCAAAAAAAAAAAAAGAAAAAAAAACATGTTACTTAATGCTTCTAACTGTGTCTTGCAACTGGCCAGGCCGAGTCACACTCAGCTGCAAGTGGAAGTGGCTTGTGTTTAACACACACACACACACACACACACACAGGCAGACAGCCAGACAGCCAGCGACTCAGACAACGCTTCAGCCAAAGGCCAAGTTGGCAGATTTTCAGTTTGTCTTTTGTTTTTTTGTTTTTTTTTGCGGCTTACATAATTTGTGTCCGTTATGGACATCGGCTTTAAGCACTTGGGGTTCATTGCGCCGCGTGTCACTTTCTTAGCTGGGCTCAGAAAACGCCCCACGAAGTGTGTTCTACGACCTGTTTATTGGACACGACAGCTAGTTAATGTTTTAATGTAATAACTAACCAAAATATCTAACTGTGCTGACCAGTCAAGTGAGTTTTTGTTTTCGTTGTTGTTGTTGTTGTTGTTGTTGCTGTTAATTTAAAGCTCGATTTTACTTTCAGCTTTAGTTTTAGATTTCAGTTGGCTGCTTGTCTTTCCGTTTTCTCAGTGGCGATGGCATTTGCGCCACTCCACTGATTTTCCATGCAGTCTTCCAATGTGTGTGTGTCTGTATGTGTGTGTAAGACCGATACACACACACACACAACACACGCACACATACGGCATGGTATTCGTCGGTAAATACGTTTTCATTGCAGTATTTCAATGTTGCGAAATTCTTGAAACGCATAAAAAAAAACTTGCCGAGTTTAGTTAGTTCTGCTACTGTTGTTATTTGTAAGTTGTTGTTATTATTGTCGCTGGCCTGTTTCTAAGTATTCTCTGTGTGTGTGTGTGTGTCTTGCCTTGGGCCTCACTGGGCTACACAGTTGAGTTGTCAAACGTTCGGTCACTTTTAAAGATGGGCTCGTCTCCGATCTTGAGAACACGACACGTCACAAGCACGCAACACAATTCGGAAATATGCCTGCAAAATTCATGATCACACGCTCTAGAGTTTTTAATCGCATATATAAATAGAAAAAAAACAGATGCATATAGTTTCTGTTCTATTTACATTATCCTTAATAACATGTTTGGTTTTTGCTTTAAATCTTTTCCAAAATAATTCCATTATATTTTTTTCTTTAATAATTATTTTTGATTTGATGCAACAAAAATATTATAAAAAATTGTATTTCTTTTTTTAAATCTATTCAAATTATTTTTTAATAATTTCTGATTTTATCATGCACAAAACTTTTATTTAATATAATTTTAGTTAGCTTGATTTTTAAACAATATTTGTAAATATTTTTGAAATTTGTTGTGCTCACGTGCTCAACACGTGTCACGCACGAAGTTAGTCTTCTTCTTGATACAAGCCGTTCGTTGACTCGTGTCACGCTCCCAACTCTAACATACATGCATGCAAAATGAACATTAGACAAGCGTCTATATATGCTCGTCTAGATAGATGTACGCCTCATGTTTAAACTTCACTTGATTCTTTGAGCGCAGTTGACATTTTTTTTTTTAATGACACGGCAATCAAATGCAAAATACATAAGCAGATAAACATGGGCGCATCAGGCGCATAATTTAGCTGCCGCAGTTTGCAGTTGTTGCAGCAGCAGCAGCAGCAGCTCTTCTTGTTGTTGTTAACCACACAAGCAAGCGCAACAATATAAACAATATTATGAATAGCACAAACACACACACAGTCTAATTTGGCAAGAAACGAACAAGTTTAAGTTCCAATTAGCCAACGCTGGTCACTGCCGCTGCCGCTGCCGCTGCGGCTGCGGCTGCGGCTGCTGTTGCCCGCTTTTGTTGCAACATCCTTGCATTTTGGTTGCTGCGCCAATTCCACAAGTTGCCACATTTTCGCGCGCTCCGATCCGACCAGTTTCGATTACATTATCTTCGGCTTGGCATTCGCCATTTGCTGGTTTTGCCGTTGTTCCGTTTTGCGGCAATGAATGTGCCTCGTGCTCGCTCGCCGCGTTCACTTTTATGCGCCGCCGCAGCGAACTTGCCACACCGTGTGAGTGTCTATGTCGACGACAGCCAGCGCCAGTGGGCCATAGCCACAGCCACTCCATCTACGTGTGTGTTTGTGTCTGTGTGTGTGTGTGTGAGTTTGTGTATCTGTGTGGTCTTATGGGTAAAAGTCGACCGGCAAATTGCCGCTTTCGGTTTCCAGGCGCCTGTTGCCCGTTTGCTAATCCCAACACTCGTTCACATTGCAAGTGCAACTGCATATTTTCCAACTGCCGGCAACGTCTACCACTGCCCCACACGAGACCGCACGATTGTGCAACCAATTGTGCAGATGGCGCCGACGCCGGCGTCGCAGTTGCCACAGTGGTATTTACATCTGCATCTGTTAAACAATTGTTTTCATACTTAAATTCATTTCTTAATCAATATACAAAATTGCATTTTGCAACAATTCTTACACGTTGCACAAAAGCAAATCAGATCAGTTCCATAATCATAGCCTGGATATATCATTAATAAAACACACCTCTGTAAATGATGCAAGAAATTCGCATAAAACACATCCATTAAAAGTGGCTAAGAAAGGGTATAATTTGCATAACACACAACCATTAAAAATGGCTAGCACAGGGTATACTGCAGTTGTGCAAGTGCATATAACAGGCACAAAGTAGCTTAGCTGACCCCATAAGGTGCATATTTTTTTAATCAGCATTTACAGCCGCGCCTGTCCTTTGACTTTTAAATTCCATTTTTGGATGCACACGCCGCTTCTACTCGCCTGATCCGTGGTATCTGCTAGTCGGGCTAGCCATCTCTGCAGATTCCTCCAAATATGGCATGTCAAAGTACTTGACTTTTTTGATAGGCGTCAATGACCCTGAATTCACACTCTAACTCAAAAAAGAATTTCTTTAGGGAACTTATCAAGAAGGTTACTGGTTCAAATCTAGCAGCTCGGAAGATAACCTATAAATATATCCTATATTTATATTCATATTCATAGTAATAATAATAATATTAATTAATAATACAATTAATGTTATTATTATTAGTTTTATGATTATAGGGTATATTATATGCTAAAACAAAATTCATCGACTATGTGACACACTTTGTCCTTAACTGCAAATTATGTTGAGCAATTGCAACTAAAATTAGGCTTATAACATTTGTACAATTATGTTAAGCTCAGAGCTAATGTCAAAATTGGAAATTGAACAAATGAAAACTTGAAAACTGTAGAAAATACTAAACAGCTATAGGGAAACTTTGTGGCTTTAGAAACCGATATCAGACCGACAATATTGAAGGCGTTTCCATTGTTTTTTTAATAGCTGCTTCCGATTTCACAGAGGCCATCAGTTGGCTCCAATATGTTTGACTTCTTAACTCTTTGCGCACAAAAGCAGCCACTCAAATCCACCGTGCACTCAGATGCACTTGTACAAACAGACACACACACACTCACACAAACATACACGCACACACATGGAGCTGCAATTGCGTGTGTAATGGAGCGTTTAAGCGTTGACGTTTGCTTTCAACGTTCAAATGCGACCAATACTGCATTTGGCCAAAAACGAGTGGCTTTTTGGCCAACCAACTCTTGGTCCACTGTGTGTGTGTGTGTGCGTGTGTGTGGCTGCTCGTGTGGATCGTGTTGTTGGCTCAGTGACTTTGCAGTGTTTGGCACCGCTGTGTTAATGGAAACTTGCAGCGCTTGGTTGACCAACATTGGTTGCTCGTTGTTTGTAGGTCACAAAAAAGCGCAAGTTGCCAACTAGCTGAAAACAAGACAGCAACAAAAACAAAAACAAAACCAAAATAAATACATAATAATAATAATAGAGAAAAAATCAAAAACAAATAACCGGGCGTTCGCAATGTGGGCGTGGGCAGCCGCATTAGATGAGGTGATGCCCGGCCATTAGCAAATTGAAATATGAAATATACATAAATTGCCAGCCATTAATATCCATAACAATATCCATAATCGCAATCTGAATTATGGCTTGCATAACGCGAACACTTATGGGGTGTCGCCAAAAAGGTCAATGAGAGCAGCAATCAAAAGACTTAGACAACGAACTTGTTAACCGCAGACAGACAGAGAAGCGTGCAAACCAGTCAAAGTCAGCGCCAGACAAACAGGCAGCAATACACTGGGCTCTATATACTAGAAGTAATGCCTATATGACATTACAGTTATTATGGCAAATTGCAGTCTGTGTGCTTATAATGCACATACTTGTACACTTAGAGAAAAAACAAACATTCTAAATTCTAGTGTTATCGTAACACACAGTAAATGTAAAACCTTCTCAACTCTCCACTCTCCACTCTACTGCTCTCCCACACGCATTCTACTCCTGTTGCTAGCTGTAGACTTGCAAATTTAGTGTTGGTAAATACACTCCTTTCGTGATTTCTGCTGGATAATATTTTGGTATATTTTTGGCATTCTCTCCCAAAAAGTACCAAGTGAACAGTATAAAGAAGAATGGCATCATAAGGTTGTGTAAAATTCCCACAACTTACAAATGTAAGGACACACAAATAAAAGAAAATTAAGAATATACCAAACTATTAAAAGATCGTTCCCTCCGGCACCTGCAGATAACCAAATAAAGTCTACATGATGCAGATTTTCCCTATATTCGTTTATGTCTTGTATATAGAAATTTGGAGCTTAACAAAAGTTCTGATAGCTAACCCAAATTTGGACAACATTTGTAACTAATGTGTTCTTGAAACTCTTGACTTTTCTCTAAGTGTATGTTGGCCTGGCAACAAGCAAACAACAGAAGCTGCGCTTGTAAACGCTTTTTGATTACCTTGCCACGCTCAAGGGTGATTACGGCCCATGAGCGCGTAATTTGCCATTTGATTTGCGGGCAATTAAAATTTTCTTCGCCTGGCCACACTTCAGGGCTTACATTTGTTTTCTTTCTAGTTGAACGTTTTTTTTTTTGTTTCCTTCAGTTGTCAGTTCCGCTGCGAACCACGCCCCCAGCTTAACTTAATGCCAGCCCCAGAAAATATTCCCAGTATTGAAAACAAGACAATTCCTGAACAATTCACACGCTGTGCTGCACGAAATTCACATCCTAGTCATATATTTAATAATATTATTAATCATTTACAATTGTTCCTTAAAAAATTGCTCTCTCTTTACAGGCGCAGTTTGTGCTTTGCATTGTGCACACCACGCGGGCGCTCTTCAGCAATCAGTGCCAGTTCTCCAAGTTTATATCGGCGCTTCTGCTGCTGAATGCATCCATATTCTTCTGCCTCTTCATGAACTTCTATATGCAGAGCTACCGGAAGTCCAAGGCTCAGCAGCAGCAGCAGCAGTTGGCGGCGACGCCAGCGTTAAGCTCAAAGGCCGACGGCAACAACAACAACAACAACAGCGCACTACAACAGGATAAGCAGCAGCAACAGGAGCAGATCCTGGCGCACAAATTGAAGGCCCACTAGGCGCAATAGACAGATAAAAAACAGAGAATGAAAAAATGCTTCCAAGCGCTGCTCGCTTGCTAAAATCTGTAAAATACGATAGAAATTGGTGTTGGTTCACAAGGCGGGCAGCTCACAAATTTGGAAGTCGTTTTTGGTACAAAGGTTTTACTTTAATTATAATGGGGAGCCATAAATGTGTTTAGCTAGAACTGCAAAAAAAAATGCCCAAAAAACAACAAAAAAAAACGCTTAGCCCGCATAGATTTTCTTTTTTCTGCCAGGGGTTATGCAATATAGTATAGATAGAAAGATAAATGTATGTCTGGGTTCAATTTTGTTGCAGCTACTCACCATATAGATAACTTTGCTAGATTGCTTGTCAATGTATCTTAGATAACTATAGTAAAACTGGGCCAATTTTTACGATCTTAAGCATAAGTTTAAGTCATTTAATTTTAGAACCTCGAAAATGCGCGCCGTATACAAATATATACATAAATATATATATATATATACAAATAAATTTATATATATATTTATATGTATATTTAATTTTGCCCAGTTTGGCAAACGTAACTCTTAAGTGTTAACTGTAATGTGTAATATGTGAGTTTTGTAAATAGATTTTGTAAATGTTAAATGTTAAATATTTGTAGCCGCTAAGCATAGCCTAAGCCAACTAGTCTTAGTTACAAAATGCGAACGAACAAACAGAGCAATAATAAAAGTTAAGACAAATATAAAAGAATAACACACCGCCAACACATTCATTTGCTTGCCTTTCCCGTTTAAATGGGCAAAGACTGAGACGCTTACAACAACAAAAACAGAAAAACAAATCGTGTTACATGATCAAGTTGAATATTTGAAGTTTTCTCAATAATTCTATTTATTTATTAAAATTTAATTAAATACGAATAATATTTTTTTGCCCAAAATTGGTAATGGGTGTGTGTCTTGACTTGAGCTGGGTGCATGCCTAAGCTTAAGCTATCGTTGATAGACTTGTCTGCAGCCAACTTCATGTGACTTCCAATTCGGTTCGGTTCTTCGCTGTAGCGCAGCCAACTTCACAGTTAAGCAAATCTGGCAACTTGCAACCCAAATCACCAGGTGGCGCTGTATTCCAACATCCCAAGTAATACGATAAAAACTAGCTATCAGCATTTTAAGTTTGCCGCCAGGTGTCGCTCGCTGCTTAAGTTTCTTGTAATTTCCGCTTGATATCACCGCTATTTTAAACATTCAGCAGTCCACTATGTTAATTTATCAGTCTGCAATTTAACAGTAACATAAGCTTTTGTTAGCGATGTTATCTTAGTATTTTCATACTCTGTAAGAAGCGCATTGTTTTATTGCGATTGAAATTATGAACAGATTAGTCATTCTATCATCATGTAATATTATATTGTTCAAATTCATTCTGTGCCATCTATAAGATCAAAAGTTCAGACTTGATGTTAAACGAATATATATCTGGCGATTAAACTGCATAGGGTATCTAACAGTCACTAAGTTACGTCAACAGTGGCATTCTGTCTTATTTTAACAGCTGGCTGTTAGTCTTATTGGACAGCTGCGCGAGTGCGGTTGTGAGAGAGAGCGCGGTTGGCGATTGTATTTGTGCGAAAAGAAAAAAAGCGAAATACAATAAATTGAATTAAAAGGCGAGGCAAGTGCCAGTCAGCACATTCGATGAATATTATTTATTAGGGCAAAGGCGAACAAATTCCAAAAAATAAACTCAGCTCCAAAAATTAATATTGATTTTTGTGGCGTGCACAAAAAAAAGAACAGAAAAAAAGGCGACAAAAAGCAACCACTTCGTCTTCCAATAAGAGCCAAGATTATCTGTTGGTCTTGTTGAGAAATTTGCCAATTCCGCAATGAACGCGACCACAACAACAGCAACAACAATGTAGACGCGTTTGTTGTTGTCGCTAGTAAGTGTTATTAACTAAGTCGAGTGTCAGTGTCGTTGAAGTGCGAGCGAGAGCAAGCGACAAATGCAATAACAACAACGCCAACGACAACAAAAGCAAAAGTTCAACACTGCGTTTGTGGTTGTGCGTGCGTGTGTGTGTATTTGAGAAGATGCAAAAGGCACACAAGAAAATGTGTTCAGCAAATGCAAATTGTCATTGAAAGTTGCTCGTTAAGGCATACAAAAAATAAATATATAAAAGGCGATTTAACCGGCAGGACGGCAGCGTTTTGGGAGTGGCCTTGGACTGCGCTTTAGCCATATTCCAATTGGATTGCGACCAACAAAAAAAAAATATATAAATACACTATGTGGATACCATCGAACAACAAATACGGCGTCGGTGAGTAAAAAAGTTCAAAAAATTGCGCGCGTGTGTGTGTGTATGTGTATGTATGTGGCTGTCGCATCCCTCGCTTTTGGCCAAGGCCCAACAACACCCCCTGAGCCGGTGTAACGGAGGTTTTGGGAAAGCGGGGGGGTCGGCGCGGTGCGCTGCGATGCGTCACGTGCACGATTACAACACTTTGTTGTTATTGTTGCTTTGTAGCTGTTGTTGCTGTTGTAGCCATGCGTTGATTCACAGTTTTTTCCGCGAAACGCCGTGCAGCATCACAGACAGACACCCCCCGGCAGCAGCAACAACAACAATGCCGGAAAGGCGGAAAAGCGATTTTTCTACATATTTTTATAGCATGCCCGCTGCCGCTTTCCTTCTCCTCTTCTTCTTGCCTTTTCTTTAGGCTTTTTATTCGCTGGCAGCGACGAAACTCAAAGAGATTTCTGTTTGTTGTTGTTCATGTTGTTGTTGTTGCTGTTGATGCTGTTGTTGCTGTTGTTGCTGCTGCGTTTTGATGTGTTTATGTTTTCATTTGCCCGTCACCCGCCCCGCCCCGCTGTCCAACGCCCGTTCGCAATTGGCATCAAGCTCTCACTCGTGTTGCCAATTGTGTTGTGCGCCAGGTGTTGCCAATTTAAATGCCGCTGTAATTACCTAGCAACTGGCAACGTTGTTGCGGCTGCCACTGTAATCGTGACACTGGCGTCGTACAATAAACTTGTTTTGATAAGACGCGAGACTATGTACTGCCAGCAAATAAAAATGTATCTTTTCCTTTTCATACTCTACACCGGGGTATTATAATATTGCCACGAAATGTGTAACTGCATAATAAATGTGCTATAAAGTAACAGATGCTAAAAATTAAGCACATATTTCTTCAGTTTATATCAAACTTAGTTTTATAGTTTTCTTAATAAGCATTTGCATAGTGTCGACTTTTTATTGTGTTGACAAGATTATATAGCTCAAAATCAGAATTATTTTAAAAAAGTTTTTATGCTTTTGAATTTAGACTGGCCGGTCAAGGTCAAGGTTGGCTATAATTACCAACTACAAGAACGTGCACCAAGAGTGTGCAAGTGTGTGAGTCTGTATAGCTTTTTTAAGAACCTTCCGGCTCTATTATCAGCAGAATGTAGATGTGCAAGTCCATATAGTCGAAAGTTATAACCACTTGCGAATTATAAGCAACGAAAACACGACGACTCTAAAAATAATCCAGTCTTCCTTTGTATAATTATCCCTGCTGCATACACTTTGCTTGTGAACCGCTCTGGCCAATAGTTTTTTGTTTTTTTTTTGGTTTAATACAGATGTAATACAGGTGTATAAATAAAAGTTATTTTTTCTGTTTCCCTTAAATTTTAGAACGAAAAATGGGTTTTTCAATCATCTTATCTCCCTTAAAGCAATTGAACAATAGTTTTTGGTCAAAATCTAATTGGACCTCCATATCATATAGCACCCATAGAAGGCACTGTAAAATCATGTATTGCTTGAATGAAAACTTATTTGTTTTCCAAGATTAATAAAACTCTTTACTTATACCACGCCTAATATTTTGGAGAGTATTGTTCAGTATCTAGTTACATATATTTTGGAAAAATCGGCCAAGGAATGAGCTGAGCTGTATAAAAGTTTGGTTTGGACTTCGATCGGAACACATTTTTGAATAGAATATGTTTAAGCAAGGGTATTTAAACTTCGGCATTTCGCAAACACAGTTCATCCTCAGTTTTCACAAATCTTGCTTGCAACTAAGTTATTTTTGTTGTTGTTATTGTTTAAGTTGTTGTTGCTGTTGTTGTCTTTTTAGTTGTTGTTGTTGTTGTCGCTTCAGTTGTTGTTATTCTTGTGTTTTCTCCGCACTCCATTTGTCAGTTTTATTTTCACATTATCAACGCACTCGTCATACTTTTCGCTTCAATGGCAGCGCTTTACAAATGACAATTGCCTCGAAAGAAGTTGCCGCTAAAGCTGCCACTGAAGCTGCCCCCGAAGCTGCAGGCTGGTCAGTAGCTTCTCTTCCGTCTGCGCGTTGTGCCAGATAAGCGTAAGCTGTCATCTATATTTAGTTTGCTGCTGCTGCTGCTGCTGCTGCTCTAGTTTACAGTTTTGATGCATCTGCTGATGATTTGTGACATGGCAGCCAGTCAAAGTTTACTCAAATCAATCAGTCAGCCGTCAGCTACGGCGTTTGGGTGGGGTGGGAAGATCATCGACCAATGTAAACGCCATTAGCGGCTGGCACAGCCCAGCGAGCAACGCCCTAACCTTGCACAACAAACAGCCGCAGCGACTGCGGAACTGACTGTCATCCGACACGTGCTGGTCGGTTGCAGCTTTCGATGCCTGGGCAATGGCTTCATTAACATCCGCATGCCGCAAGTCCAGGCCCAGGCACAGACCCTGGCCCGGCGCACACGTTCTTTGTCTGCTTTGGGAAGTAATTGCAAGCATTGTCAGGGCAACCAATCAGAGATTTTTAATACCCTGTACCAACTGAGAAACTGCAATGTGGGTATAATAAACTATTTCTAACATGAAGATCAAGCGAATGCATGCAACTAATTTCGCATGTCAAAAACACAATTATTTTAAAGTTGAATAATAAATAATTTTTTTTTTAATTTTTTTGATACAAAAATTAAAGTTAAACACAGTTATATCTATTTTGGCCTAATCTTTAATCTTAATCTTATATTTATAGTTACATTTTTACTTAGATCTTACTATTTAATTAATATTTAAAACTTTGCAAAAATCTCATTTTCTATTCAACGTTTGCAAGAAAACTCTAAAATAAAAATGAAGAAAACATTCTTTTAACAGTTAAATAAAAGTAAATCAAAAAATAATAACATAATATTTATTGGGGTACAATTTGTATTTCGAAAAGTGATAACACTTGCAGTTGCTCGTGTAAATACAAATATCTTTAATTCGTTGCTGTTTGCAGGGCATCTTTTAGTCGTGCAGAGATTTTCTTTCTGCTCGCTCCCAATTACGCAGTTAGTCGGCGACAGTTTTGGGTGGTTGCATGCAACCGAAGCTGCTGGCGGCATTGTAGATGGTAGCTGGTAGCTGGTAGCTGGGCCATGCGGGCAGTTTCATCTGTGCGCAGCGAATTGGCACAGACCGCAGCCACTGAAAACTCTTGGCGCAACTTTGCCAAAAAACCAAAAAAAAAAAAAAGCGAAATACAAAAAATTTCTAGACAGGCGCAGGCCGGATGTTGCCGATGCCTTTTCCAGTGAATTCCGTTGTTGTTGCTGCTTGCCGCTTGCCGCTTGCTGCTGCTGTTACTCCAATAGGGGGCAAATTCGTTTTCAACTTTAATTTAATATTCATTTTATGCATTTGGCCACTGGCTGTCGTGTGTGTCTGTGTGTGTGCGAGTGTGCGTTTGTGTGTGGAGTCAGCGCACAAATTTGTGCAGCGTTTCCTTTTCGTTATGCAAACACAGATACACCGATGTGTGTGTGTGTGTGTGCGTGTGTGCGCGCATTAAATTGATTCATATTCATTGTTTAATATGCTTGTCGGCAACTTTGTGTTGCTACGCCCTACCTCGACCCCCACAACCCACAGCCCTAACCCTCACCCTAACCCTTGCCCATGCGCATTGCCTCATCCATCCGTTCAACGGCCCATCTGTACTTTGGCTTCAATTCGGCATTGGCACAACCATTATTTGTCTTTAACGATGTATTTATGATTTGTGCCATAGCACTATACCACTGTCTATGATTAACTACGCACACACACGCACCCACGAGGCACCCACACGCACACACATTTATCACACTTCCGATTTGTGGCGCATTATCAGTCACTTTACCGGATGAGGCACGTTTCTGTCGTGGCTCTCTCTCCGCTTCTGCTTTACGCATTTATGTAAATGCAGTCCAAGAACTGATATGCATTTATGCCCAATACGTTTCTATGAGCCACAGAGTTCTACCTTCCCTCGCGACGGCCCCACAACGTCTGATAAATGTCTGGGCGATAAGACAGGCAAGCGCTTATAAAGCCATAAACAATATAAATGTGCCTCCGAATACGGGAATGCACGACTAGAAGTGCGCGTTTGCCCAGCTAACCAGCTAAAGATTTCATCTATATACAAAAACAAGCTGCTTACTGCGCTTCTTCTTCCTTTGGTGGAAAATGCATTCTTGATTAACTTCGGCTTTTAAAGTCCGATCTTTATCAAATTTTGAGGCTTTGGATTTAGCATACAAAAGAGTGCATATGCCAAGGCCTACGGCTATACCTCAATTAATTCTTGATAATCTCGATATGTGCATTCTCTATGAGAACCTAAGAACTTTAACTTCCTCGACTTCTGCCTGTCACATACATTTACACAAAAACATTATACCCACTTAATGCAATTTTCAGGGGGTTCAGGGTATTAGCAGATAGTCGTCTACATACTATAAAAAAATATAAAAAAATTATACTTTAGATAGGCTACGATTATACACACACAATATATTATACTTAGACTTATACGAGTGTGTACACAAACAATTAACAAGTGAATCGCACTTTTGCTTCTGCTTGGTGCCACAAAAACCGTCAACAATTCCGGTTTTTTGATAACCAACTGATAATTCGGGGGGAGCGCTTGCCAACTGGCCACAATCCAAACTGATTTCCCTCTCAAATTTGTGCGTTTATACCATAAATAAATGTGCATTCAAATATGAGCAAACATTTTGATTGCCAATTCAAATATTTATAATGCGGTCTTCCGCATTTGATTTTTATATTATGCAAATATTAAATATAAATATGCAAATATTTAATAGGCTGCATATTTTTCATTGTGCGATGCACTCAATTACAGTCCATAACATTGGCAAGCGTTTAAAAAACATGCGGAAATGTTAGAACTGACTAACAGATGCCCTGTCAACTTTTGAAAGTGCAAAATAAATGGAGCAGTTAAATTTCATAACCCAAAATTATTTTAAGTATAGAAGCATTTGTCG